GAAGAGTGAAAGAAGCAGGTGGAGAAAAGAGGCAGTGAGCGAAACCAAACAAGAAGTAGAGGAAGCGAGCCTGAGTGAGCCCAGGGAAAGTGACCCGGAAAGTGACCCTGAGAAGACCCCCAAGCAGAATGATTGACGCTCACATGGAGCAGGAAGGAGTTCGAGATCTGGAGTGGGCCCTGGGATACTGTGTGACCCTAGATTGGTCACCAGCCCCCTCTGGGTCTCTGCTCCTCAGCCACCAGATGAGGCATCTAGAGACTGAGGGTCTGGCCTGAGGTCACCTGGTAGGTCTCTGGTTCTAGGAGACAAGCCTACCTTTCCCATCAGCCCCAGCACATCTTTGGTGTCCCGAATTCCTTGCTCCAGGTACTTGATGGATTTCTTCACAATGTGAGGTTTATCCGAGGTGAGTTCTACCCAGCCTTTGAGCACGTAGCCCTGGGTGAGAACAAGAGGAAAGATGAAGTCCTTGGTCCCATGGAGCCTTGACCTAGCCTGCTCATGTCCTGCAGGCTGATGTCCTGGGATGAAGCCCAGAGCAGGCCAACCCCCTTTCTCCCAGGTCTCACATTGTCCCTGCTGCCTGAAGTGCCCTGCCAGACCTGCTTCCAAACCAAGTCCACTCCCCTGATTGACTACTACTTTTACCTCAGCTTAGGAGACCGCTCCTGTAGGAGGTCTGACCTCCTTGCACCCCCATGCTCTCTGCCACCCTTTCCTGCAGTCCTCTTGCCTGTCTTGCCATCATCTGATGACTTTACACCGGGGTCAGGCCCCATCACAGGGGCATGGGCGGGGCCAACTCTTGGTCCTTCTACTCCTTAGACCAGCCAGGGCCTGGCCATGCATATAAAGCCTGGGAGTGCCCACAGTATGGGTGAGTAAGAGCCATACTGACCTCAGGGGGACCTTATTTGTTCCCATCAGCCTTCACTCAGCCTCTCCTGGCAGATGGGGAGGGTCAGGCAGGGGAAGCAGAATTGGAGGGGCACTTGGAAGAACCCTGTCTTGAAGCATCCCTCGATGGCCTAGCCTCGTGTTTCTCTTTTACCATTTTCTCTCTCCTCAGCAGCCTTTTTTGGACGACCCCTCATCCTCTAAGAAATGTTAATATCACAAATACACCATATCTGTGTTTTGTGTTCTATAAGATATTTGTTTTATACATAGAGTAAGATTTTTTTCATTCTCTCTCCTAAGAACCAATGTTCACATCCTTGAAAACTTGTATCAATCCCACTCAGAATGAGAGGCCTAGACGAGACTTTGAAATCCACCATTAGCACAGACATACTGCATAAGCCACATGCTGTGTGTAGGCGCCACTGCTCGTATCTAGTGAATAGATGCAGGCAGGGAATAGCTGTAGCCAGTTCATCGGGATTTTCAAAAGAACCAAGAAAGCTGGACTTGATTTCTAAATATCAATAACATAGATGGTTACTGGGGTCTTGTCAGTGCCTGGGTTGGTCCTTCCCCAGCTCGAGGGCCCTCAAAGGGAATAAAGGGCCAGCCTGCTGTGATGTGTTTCGATGCTCACTCTTTGCTGTTGCCCAATGATGCTCAGGGTAAGTACCTCTCTGGAGCTGTGGGAGACCTTCAGAAAGTGGTCGATATACTCCTTGGCCTTGTCGTGGTAGCCCATGAGCCACAGGAAGAGGCTAGCATAGTACAGGGCTCTCTCAGGGGCTGTCCTGCGTATTTCCTTCAGGCTGCTCTCCAGCTCCTGAATTGCTTCTCGATCTATAAATCCAAAGTGGAGGAAGAGGCTGAATTAGGATGAGGAGGCATACCTGTGTTGCAGGGGTCACCAGGGGCCCAGGGAGCTGCCCCTGGACATTCTGGATCTGCCTCTATGTATGCAGCTGATTATGGGCCAACCTAGGGCCTGGGAACTAGCCATGCTAGCCACTGAAAATGCCCAGCCCAGGAGTCAGATTTTGCTCTCTGACATTTATCTTTTCTGCTCTGGACCCAGCACAGTGTGTTGAGTAGACAGACCAAACCTGAATCTTTGGCCTCAGGCCCACAAACCATTTTGGGTGGGAAAATGGCAATTTGTAGCCATTTGTAGCCATTCCCTCCAGGAATCTCTTCCTGACTCCAGAGTGGTGGAGACTAGTTTTTTTCTTTTTTTTTTTTTTTTTTTGGTGGTACTGGGAATTGAACCCAAGGCCTCGCTCATGCTGGGCAAGTGCTCTACTGGCTGAGTTACATCCCTATCCCTATTGGCTCTATTTTTCCGACAGGATCTCACAGAGCAAAGGAAAGAAGGGTGCTTCTTCTCAACTCTTGGGACCTAGAGGGAGGACCCTTCCCACCTCTCTGCCTCTTCCCACTCAATCGTGCCCAGGCCTGGCATCTTCTCTGAGGCTTCCAAGCGAAGACTGCAGCATCCCCTCCTTGCTGACCAGCAGCAGCTAGCTGCACAGGCACCCTTGAGGGGTGGTGTCTCTGGAGTGGGCTTCCTTCCCTGCCAGGCCAAGCCCTGCTGATTGTGGCTATACTCACCAATGGTTTCACAGCTTTTGTGAGCATAAAGGAGGGCCATGATGGAGCAAAGGGATGTGTCTGGGTGATTCCGGATGCTCTCCAGGTCACTGATGGCATCCTGGATGCGCTCTGCAAAGAGAGTCCACATGATTATGCTTTCAAACTCCAAGCCTAAAAGGCAGGAGACTCTGGAAGATGCCCAGAATCCCTATCAGGGCTGACCGACCCATGGCTTAGCACCACCTGCCTTTACTTGGAATTTGAAGACTAACTGGTCTGAAAGTTTCCTGGTGGCCTGAGTTCCCTGGTGACTGAAGCTCCTGAAAAGGCTGCCTGTACCATGGTCCAGACTGCCAGGGGCAGGAAGGTCTTGGAGCTGAAAGGTGGCCTGCAAGCACTTGTGTAGGATACTTGCAAGGCTGGGACTATTGGCTGGGGGTCAGTTCTAAGGAAGGACCTCAAGCAGGGCATTCTCTGCTAGCTGCTCAAGACTACCAATTACATTTATCCTTTATGTTCCCTGACACTGGCAGCTCTGCCAGCCCTCAGCCAGGACCACTTCCAGAATATCGGTGAATTGCTTCTAGGCCTTTTGGATAAGATCAAGTGCAGAATGTCAGCAAAGTCAGCACTGCTCCTGCCTATGCTCACTCACACCTGCCACTTCCTCCTTCTTTTCCTGCACAACTGGCTCTCAGTTTCCAAGCCTAGAATTAGATCAATAGTCATACACTTGTCTCTCCAACCACACATTCTGCAGATAGGGAAACTGGGATGCACAGCAGGATAGTGAGCCCTTTGAGGTCTCAAGCCTTTGAGGTCTCAAGATATGGATTATATATGTTTTTGTGGATTAACCTGGAAAACTCAGTGTTACAGTCAGTGAAAGACTGTTTCCATGGAAACATAACTAGGATATAAGTAGGCATCCAGGTGTTGGCCATAGTGATGGAGCTGGGCTAGTGCCTGGCATCAGAATGCCAACATTGCTAAGACCTTACCTTCTCTGAGGACTCCATAGGCTTTAAAGAAATGCAACACGGGGTCATTGCTGAATTTCTCCAGGCCTGCAACTGCAGCCTGCTGCACATGGTGGAAGTACTTTTCCTGGCTATAGTAAATGATCCCAGCCTGTGTGGAGGAAGACACAGTTGCACTAGCTCCGGCTCCTTTTCTCTGTTCTGACCCATATGTGATGAGACGGGTTCCCTTCCCTATCTTCTACTTTCCCTTAGCCTACATAGGGAAGAGAGAGAGAGAACATGCAGGCCTCATTCAGTCCCTGAGCGTAGCTCCGTGCAGTTCGCCTAGGAAGGAGTTTTCCAGTGTTCGGATATTACCAATAGATGCTTGTTAAAATATGAGGTGTAACTCAATTCAGGCTTTTTTTGAGAGAGTAATAAAGGAGAAAGAATGAGGACCAATATTAAGAAAAATTATACCAATAGTTATAGTTACAAGTTTAAGGGCTTTGTATCCATTATCTTACGCATAATCCTATCTATATCTTCCACAGTTAAGAGCTAAGTCTCACTTCCCCTAAGGTCTATGTGTGCTGGGGTTAGGTCCGAGTGTGGCTGGATTGTAAGAGCCTGGGGGGGCCATATGAAAGAACCCAGACAACATCCTAAGGGTAAAAAATAGGAGGCAGTTGGAATGGTTTTAAGTAGGAGAAAAATGTATTAAGATGTATGTTTTTGTAAAAACTACACTAGCTGCTGTGTGTGGTGGTAGTGCACACTGCCTGTGAAGACAACTAAAGCAGGAGGGATCCTGTTGCAGGTGTTCAGATGAGAGACCGTAGTGGCCCTGGGCTAAGAGATGAATAAAAGAAGTGGGTGAACCCTGGGTACATTTAGGAGTTGACATTTCTTATTGATGAAAGTATTAAAAGAGACAGGTATGGGGAAGATGTATTAATTAACGCTGGCGATCAAATGGTGGTGGCATCTACTGAGATGAGAGATGCAGAAGAGGTGCAGGCAACGGTAGGGGGTGGAGAGGGTTAAGTAGAAGAGATGACAAAACAGTGGAGATGGAATGATTTGGTTTGGGGTGCTAAAGGGACAGGACCCGGATGGTGGGTGCTAACTTGGGGCTCAGGGTGCATAGAGGGCACTAGTGTCAAGGCACTCTCCAGGGACAGTGAGGCAAGATAGGGCAGGGACTCCTGAGGAGGCTAGGGACAGAGAAGGGAGGCCAAAGAGGTGGCTCGCGAGTAGAGGGCCGGGGTTATCCGGCCGGAATTGTCGGGCAGCAGTCGGGCCACGCACCATAAGAGAAGAATCATTGCTGCTCATCTCCGGCCACTCGCGGCGGCGAGTCCGGCTCAGGTAGGGCGGTGCAGAGCTGGATTCCAGGGTCAGGGTCCTGGGCACGCCTCTCCTGGCTGGAAGTCGAAGGCACGAGCGTCCTTGGAAACCGGGCGGCCAGCCGGTTGCTAAGAGCGGCGGCGTAGGGAGTGGGCGGAGCACGGCGCACCACGTGACAAGGCACTGGTAGTTGAGCTTCGAGAAAGTGAATCTGCTCTGGGGCTCCCCGGCTGCCTGCGGGTCGGTGGTGGACGCGGGCGCCGAGCAGGGCAGCGGTCATGGGCCTGGGCTCCAGCGCCCAGCAGCCTGCTGGCGGCGCCGAGGGCTTCCACCTGCACGGGGTAGGTCGGTCCCGGGGCGCTGGTGATCTTGGAAGCGCGCCTGTAGCGACGCGTCCGCGCGTTTGGTCACCTTTCGGTTGGCGGCTACCGCGGGGTCCCCGCCCGAGCGTTGCAGCTGTGGGCTGCCAGCCTCTTGAGAGAAGTGGCATCGCCGGACTCCAGGCCTCGACGCTTCTGCCATCGCCCTGGGGCTCGGCGCCCGCCCCCAATGCCAGCTGTGCAGGAAATGGGGGCGTTCCGTGTGGCGCTACCCGGAGTGGCGTTCTTCCGGGTGAAGAACGCGCCGGCTCTTGGCAGAACTCTCTGGTGCCCTCAGGGCAGATTGGTGATGACCTCTGTGTGCTGTGCTCCGTGCTGAGTTGGGGGCAGCCAGCAGCTCCTAGGACCGAGTAGTTCCCTGCATCGATCTTGCCGTTAAGACTTGCCCGTCGCATTGTCAGGAGGGGTATGGGGGCGGAGCGAGGACCAGTGGAACTAGCCGGGAAAGTGGGGCGCAGGAGGCCAGGAGAATGCCGCAGAAGCCCGGGAGAGCGTTTGCAGCTTGGGGAAGCGCCCGAGTGGTGAAACCCTGCGGAAAGGCGGGTCGGTGAGGCAGGGACTGAGGATGGGCTTTAGGTGCCAGGAAGTCTGGACGAATGGGCTTTAGGTGCCCCTGCAAGGAAGTTTGGACGAATGGGCTTTAGGTGCCCCTGCAAGACTCCCACCCCTGCACACTTAACCTTGTGTGAAGCGATGGATGTAGAGATGGGTGTAGACAGACAAGTTTGCTCCTTTGGTGCCTGGCTGTTGAGTGGTCTCTGCTTTGGAGGAAGGCTCTGTAAGCAGGTGTCACATGGGAGGGGGTTTCTAACAGGAAAGCCAGGCCTTTTTTGAGTACCCAGCATTGATGGGAATTGTGCTTGGGGATGGCCTTTCATATGGGGAGGCACAGAGGCAGACAGTGGAATTCATCCAGCCAGGATAGTCTTGGAACAGGTTTGATGAATAAAAAGGAATTCAGGATGTAGGCAACAGGGGAAGCAAGCCATGGGGTGGTGGCAGGAGTGCAGACAGGAGGACCTAGTGGAGAGGGACAGGATGAAGAGGCTAAAGGATTGGAAGTCATCCTCCACATATTTGTGAGCACTTAGTCTGGCAGGCAGAGTTTTAGGCAGCAGTGATAAAGCTGTGAACAGAATAGACAGTGTCTATAATCCATTCTTGTGGTGCTTACATTTGGATGTCAGTTGGGAGAGAGGGAAGATCATAGGAAACAAATATGGTAGGTGGTAACCTGCTAAAGCAGGTTAAGGGAAAAAGAGAGATGGGTTGGTGCCATTTTCTAGAGTGGTCAGGAAAGGCCGCTGATCAAGTGATTTTTGGACAGATGTCTCAGCCAGAAGGGCAGACAGTATAGATATGGAGGAGAGAGTATTCCAGTTAGAAGGCCCAGCAAAGGTGGGTCGTGCTTGTGTGTCTGAGGAAGTGTCAGGAGGCAAAGACAGCATTTTGGAAAGTGTGGCCAGTATCAGGAGGAAGTCAGGCTGTGTAGGACCTTGCTACTGTCCTGAAGGTTCAGGATTTTATTCTGAGATGTGGGGCCTTTGGTAGGTTTTTATGTGGGGAGGTAACATGATCTGCTTATATTTTTAAAACTTAAAAGAACAAGTGTGCTCCATTCTATAAATACTGGCATTCCCACCACGTGCCAGGCCTGTTGGCGATGTCCCTGCCCTCAGTAAGCATATGGTAAGGAAGGATTCACAAGGAAATGGCTGTTATATGGCAGTGGTTAGGGGAGGACTGTGGGTTGGATATCCTAGGGACTGAGCCCCTTTTCTCATTTTAACTTGGGTTTAGTAAAATAGTTGAATGGATAAAGCAGGTGAAGTGGTACTATCCTTGCCACTGGCCAGCCAGCGCTGGGTGACTGTGTAGGCTGCCATCACTGTTTGTTCCATGAGGTTCACTTGTGGGGAAAAATAGGATGGGGTGTTATGAAAAGCAGCACACATTGTGGGGCTAAATGGTGTAGGGCACGCTGGGAGTCTCCAGGGAGAACTGGATGGAGGGGTGGTGGGTTTTACAGGAAAAGGTGCAGTGGATGGCAGTAGAGATGATTTCAGCTGTGGAGCCCAGTGAACAATGACAAAGCCTGGGGTGAGGGAAATGGAGTTTAGCAGGCAGAGGGCAGGCCCACAGGAGAGGATGGGTGGATGTACTGGGTGGGCTAGGGGAGCACCAGCCCTGGGGATTGGGGGCCTGAGTGTCAGCCCTCATCTAGGGAGGCTGACATAGTGTTGAGTAGGGGTGGCATGGCCTTGGGCATGGCCTTTCCTGAGGGGAGATGGGGTGTTTTGCAAGTGACCCTACTCGGGGAGAAGCACCCTCCAAAGTATCCCTGCCCTTTGGATTTTAGAAGCCCCTGAAGGGATAGAGGGCAGGCTCAGCTCTCCTGAAGCAGGGCCTAGGAACAGATTGCCCTCTGGGCTGGGCCAGCTAAGGTTGCTGGGCCCATGTTGGAAGCGATGGCAGCTTCTGGAGGTAATAAGGAGAGATGCAGTTGTTGCTGCCAGAAGACAGTCCTGATTCCAGGGGCAAACTGGCCTTATCCCAGAGGCTCAGCAGTTTGTTCTCAGCAGGCTGTCTGAGACCTCTCTTTCAACTTGGGGAATCCAAGACTGGAGGGTTGGCGAGCAGCAGAAGGCCTCCAGAACCCGAGACCACAAGAGTCCTGTGCCTCTCAGGACATAGAGGCCTGGCTGTTATCTGACCCTACGAGGTCATCAGTGTCCACGAAGGCCTAAGTATGGTCCTACCATCAGGGTCCAGGACCTGGGGACAAAGGTCACGTTGTGTGAACTTGGACCTGCAAGGCTTGGTTGCATTTTAGAAATATATTGAGCTGGAGAGTCCAGAGAGGAATACGGAGCAACCTGGCCTGGGAATGGCTCATGAAGGAGGTTTCCTGCCTTGGACTGTGAGGCTACTGGGGAGGCTCATCAGGCCCAGTCCTGCCCCTGTGGTGTGCTTTCCTTCCCAGCAGTCTTCAGTGGCCCTCAGTTACCTGCTGGACTGAGTCAAGGCCAGGCCTTTCAAGATCTGGTCACAGGCTGCCTTTCCTACTCCCCCTTTCTGGGCACAGCCCTGGATGTATTTCTCCTGCCTGCTTCCCTTGAGCATTGGGGTCCCTTGTCCAGGCCTGGGCCAGCTTATCTCCATGTGCCTCCTGGTAACCCCCAAAAGCAGCCTTGGGCTGTGAGGCATCTCTGGAAGCATTTGTGGATGATGATCAGGAAAAGACCCATTTTCTTAAGAGGAAAGCTTGTGACTAGGAAGGTAGAGAAAGGGAAGGAGTAGACCTGGACAATGCCAAGAAGCTGTGCTCTCGAAGGCACTGGGCATGGTGATACGCCAGGGTTGGCAGTGGTTCTGGGAACAGTGGTGGGGGCTTCTTGAGCCTGGGTTTGGTGCAGTGACTGGCCTCTGTCATGGAACAGGTGCAGGAGAACTCGCCGGCCCAGCAGGCGGGCCTGGAGCCTTACTTTGACTTCATCATCACCATTGGGCACTCGCGGCTGGTGAGGCTCCCCCCACTGCCTCTGCTTTGTTTGTGTACTTGTGTCCCTCTGTTCCTCAGGAGGCCCAGCCTGCCTCTGCTTGTGTTTTTTACCCAGGGTCACTGAGGACAGAGGGACTCTTGAAGGTGGGCTTGAGGGTGTGAAGGGGACTGGCCAAGGGCAGTATGGAGTGCTCTGGACCCAGGAGGCTTTGTGCTTGCTTGGTTGTGTTTTCTGGCCTAGGGAGGGAGGAGGATTGGGAAGTGCTGGGTGGTGGGGGTCACAGTGGCTGCAGCTCACTCTGGCACCTGGCTCTGCTGGGGCTGCTGGCCACCAAGGCCCTTGTGCCATCTTAGGCCCTGACCTGTCTGAAGGGACTGATGTGGGGCTGGGGGATGAGGGCTGGGGCCTTGGTGTCAGCCCTGCTGCCCCTGCAGAACAAGGAGAATGACACGCTGAAGGCGCTGTTGAAAGCCAACGTGGAAAAGCCCGTGAAGCTGGAGGTGTTCAACATGAAGACCATGAAGGTGCGCGAGGTGGAGGTGGTGCCCAGCAACATGTGGGGCGGACAGGGCCTGCTGGGCGCCAGCGTGCGCTTCTGCAGCTTCCGCAGGGCCAGTGAGCACGTGTGGCACGTGCTGGTGAGTACAGGGTGGGGTGCTTGGAAGCAGTTGGGATCCGGGTGGGGGCAGGCATGCCAGGATTGAATGGGTGGGGCACGGGGCAGAGGCCAATAGCAGTGGCTTATTAGGGGACTCAGTGTGGGATCTGGTGGTGTGCCAGTTCCTGAGAGGGCAGCTCGTGTTACCACCTGGACTGTGTACCCTGCTTCCTGCTAGCCATGTGACTTTGGGCACTTTTTTACCTTCTGCATCTTAGTATCTTCTTTTAAAAGGCGGGGATACCATCTACTGGCGTGGTGGTTGTACTGCCAGAATGCTGCTACTGTTATCAATCTGTCTCTCAAGATAGCATAGATAGTGATTTTTCTGGTATATTGTTATATAGCTAATCGATACATAAATAGGCCACAGTGGCTGAGCTGGAATCGTGTCTGATTACAGCTACTGTGCACCTGACACCTGTGCTCATAGGTGGTGTCCAGGTTCTCAAGTGCATGGTCCTGTGGTGTGGTGGAAGGAGAGTTCCCTGAGCTAGGAGCTGGCTCACTTGTGTTCTCCTCTATAGCTCACCAGCTCCTTGTGGGAGACTAACCAAGGTTTTCAGCCTATCTTTGCAGCCAGCCTACAGAGGTTTGCTCATGAGTAAAATGTGACTGATACAGATGTCTTTGCATTTCTCAGGATGACTGGGAGGCTGGGAGGGAGTGGTAGAGCTTTTTAAGGGAGAAAGCAATCCTGTGCCCAGCTTTGCTCATTGCCCTCGCCTCCTGCCCTCAGCCAGGGGTCTCATGTGCCTCAGCAGTCACAGCAATGCAGTTGGCACTTCCTCTGGCCAAGATGTGGTTTTCTTTCTTTAAGGTATTTCTTTACTCTTCTCCCCAACCTTATGAAACCTGTTTTGAATTGTGGAGAAATGCTGAGAATGATTTAGTAATTCCACAGTCACACAGCTAGTAGTTGGAGCCAGGAGTTGAGGCCCAGGTCAGATTCTAGAGCCCAGTGCTGAATCATGCCATGGTGCTGCCCTCTGCTGGGCAGGCTGTAGGCCTGGGGAGGTAGGGAATTGGGGTGAAGGAGTCTGGGCTTGAGGTTCTGCTTGACAAAAGAGGACAAGTATCCTACTCACTACCTGAAGAGGTTCTGCCTCCTGCCTCTTCTCCCAACTCAGTGGCGAGGCTGCTGGTTTATAATTCTTTCTCCAGGATGTGGAACCCTCTTCACCTGCTGCTCTTGCTGGCCTGCGCCCCTACACAGACTATGTGGTTGGCTCAGACCAGATCCTCCAGGAGGTGAGAAGCCCGTGGCCTGCCCCTCCCAGAGAGATGGATGGGGTGTGCAGAGATGGGTGGTGTTCGTAAGAAGCGTCTCATTTCGAGGCTTCCAGTCCAGTGCCAGGAACAGGCCTCAGCTGCTGTGTGTTTCTCATAGTCTGAAGACTTCTTTTCTCTCATCGAGTCCCATGAGGGGAAGCCCTTGAAGCTGATGGTTTATAACTCCGAGTCTGACTCCTGCCGGGAGGTGACTGTAACTCCCAACGCAGCCTGGGGTGGAGAGGGCAGGTACTTGCTGGGGTCCCAGGGCTGCACGGTTAAGTGGGCGGGGCCTGCCTAGTGGGCGTGGACTTCAGAGTCCCCTGGAGGAGGTAGAGTACTGGGCTCTAGGCCCAGGACCTCTGAAGGCTGACTACTAGCCTGGGAGTACCCTTTCCAGCCCCTCAATTGCTGGTCAGGGATGGGATGGTAAAAGCAGGGAGGGCTGTGACTGTGGACAACCCCATGAATGAATATTTCTGGCCTTTGGTAGTCTAGGGTGTGGCATCGGCTATGGGTATCTACACCGGATCCCCACCCAGCCCTCCAGCCACAAGACGCCACCTGTTGTTCCAACACCTGGCACCCCACTGCCCAGCACCCCACCACCTGGTGCCCCACTTCCTGGCGCTTCGCTGCCTGGCACCCCACCACCTGGTGCCCCACCACCCGGCGCCCTGTCACCTGATGCCTTGCTACCTGATGCCCCACCACCTATTGCCCTGCCACCTGGTACCCCGCTCCCTGATGCCTCACAACCTGGTGCCCCATCACCTGGGCCCACCCCTCAGGACTCTTCTGGCCTGGACCTAGGTTCCAGGCAGAGTGACTACATAGAGGTATGTGTCAGCCAAGGGAAGAGGGGAACTTATATGGGCAGAGGGACCTACAAGCTGGAAAAAGACTCTGGAAGCTACCCTTGGGGTGCCCCAGCAACGTCACCCTTGTGAGGCCCTTGTGCCTTTAAAGGGAGGCCCACCTACTCTGGGACACAGTGGAGCAGATGGGCCCTTTCTGGGACAGTCAAACCACTTTTGGCCCTCCTGTCCCTACAGGTGAGGCACTGGTTGTTGTCTTCATTCATAGGTGGGAAACTGGGATTTAAGAGATGGGCAGAGCCTTGCTCTGTGCCCCCGTGAGACTGTGGCATTCTGGGAGGTTTTCTGTTACACCTGATAGGTGTCGGACTGAGTCTGCAGGGCAGTGCTGGCCCTGCCGTCGTGGTTAAAGAGTGGGTTGAGGGCACCTTGGGCAATGGGATTGTGCCACGGGGTATGCTGGGATGTTCCTTCAGTTGTACCTGAATTCAAGGAAGACCCTCACTCCCTTCTGGTCACCGAGGGTGCCCCCAAGTAGCAGGGGGAATATGTTGGAGCCAGGTAGATACCTGGGGCTCAAGGATGTGGATAGAGTGCTCCGTCTATGTGGATATGGCAGGGGAGGCCAGGCCATGGCCCTCTGGCCTGACTTCACATTACTTGTAGGGGAAAGGGCAGATGACCAAGACCATTTCCTTCCTTAAGGCACAGCAGTTTGCACACAGCAAGGGTGGGCTGGTACCTAGGCTGGATTGTGAAATCACTGTCCTGATGGCCCCCTTCCTGTTCCTTCTTCCTTGGTGCCCCTAGGCCATGCTACAAGTACCTGGCTCCCTCATGGATGGACAGCTCCCCAGGTCTGGAAGTCCCAGCCACAGTGCTCCAGACTTTGGGGGACTTCCGCATTCCATGGAGATTTCTCTTCAGCCTCCACCTCCAGTGCAGCGAGTCATGGATCCAGGTACTGGGCAGGCCCGGAGGGGAGGTTAAGGAACCTGCAACTCCTGGTGCTGAAGTGGGCCCCGGCTTGCAGCAGTGCCAAAAACATTCCCTAGGGCCTGTTGCCCCTTCATACCTCCCAAGTGCCAAGACTGTTGCAGGCCATCTAATCCATTGGTGGAGTCTAGTTCAGAGAAGAGAGATGGCCTACTTTAGGTCACACAGAAAATTGGAGACAGGGCAGGGTCTGGGCTGCCCCCATGGTCTGGGCTAACACTGAGCTAACCCCATGATACCCAGCGCCTAAGCCCTTTTCCTCAGAAAAACCCAGTGGGAACCTCCTTGGGGTTGATTGGATGGCACCGCCAGGGAATGAGGACGTTATAGTCTCCAGCTAGGCCAGGGATAGATATCCCAGGCACTGGGCAGGGTGAGCCCAGGGTACTGGCTTTCCAGCAGTCAGGGTTTTGTGTTGTGTTCCCTCCTCAGGTTTCCTGGATGTGTCAGGCATTTCCCTCCTGGATGGTAGCAATGCCAGTGTGTGGCCCAGCCTGTCCTCCACAGCGCTGACTACCATAGCCAACTCAAACGTAGGACCAGAGGATGTTGGTTCCAGCAGCAGTTCTCATGAGCGGGGTGGTACGTTACTTTCCCTTCTGAAGCCCTCTGGGAAGGACCCCAGGTTGCTGGTAGTCTGCCCTAAATTCCTCAGCTAGGTTAGTTAGAGGCTGCCCCTTGGGTTGAATACAGCCATATGGGAATTCATAAACTTTATCTCCTATCCCCCATTAAAGCCTAAAGAGGTGGGGGATTGGGTATCATGGTTACTGGCCCCAGGACCGTGGTCCTAGGTTCTGGCTCCTCCTCAGCCCCATCTTTGTGTTTCAGGTGAGGCCACATGGTCTGGGTCAGAGTTTGAAGTCTCCTTCCTGGATAGTCCGGGTGTCCAGGCCCAGCCAGACCACCTGCCTCAGCTAACTCTTCCCGACAGCCTCACCTCTACAGCCTCGCCAGAAGATGGGCTGTCTGCTGAGCTGCTAGAAGCTCAGGCTGAGGAGGAGCCTGCAGTCACAGAGAGCGCAGACTTCAGGGCAGAGGCTGAGAAGCCAGCCAGCCAGGCCCAGATATCTTCCCCAGAATTACAACCAGGGCTGTGATAAGGTCTCTAATGATATTTCATGAGGTCCAGATGTGGGCAAGCAGCCCAGCTCCATGCCTGACCCTAGCCTTGTATGTTCCACTTTCTAGGCTGCAGTTCCAAGTGATGTGCAGGGACCTCTGTTGGCAGGGTTTTGTGTCTTCTTTGAGCCTCCTTGGGGTCTTTAGGAGATGACCTTGAAGAACTTACACTGTCTGATGGTCCTGGCTTGAAAACTTTCAAGCAAATACTTTTGGGGTGTTAGAGGGCTGGGAGCAACACTCCAGCTTAATGTTTTCCAGGAGCTGCGATGGTAAAGGAGGGGATTCTTTGCTGCTTTGGAGGGACATGAAAGTTGACTTGGTAGTGAGAGAAGGCCATGCACCCTCAGGACCAGTACCTGTTCTGGTCACTCGGGTTACCCAGGAGGCAGCAGGGTCTAGTCCTGTTCCAGTGTGAGGTCAGGTGAGGGAGGAAGGGGTTGTTTCAGGTGTTGCCTGATGCTTTGTAGGGCTTGCCTTGATCTTGCCTGCACAGCCCAGCTAGCCCATCTGTACTGAAAGGGACCCAAACCCAGGACTCGACCCTGCCAGTCACAATCACTGATGACTCCCTCATGCACTACAGTGCAACATTTGGCTCAGGCTGGCTGGTGTGCCCTACCGCTGGAGGAGAGAGGCAGTGCACTTGCCTCTCTTTTAGTGAGGGTTTGAATATTCTAGGCCCTTCCGCAGAGACCCAGCTATACCTGCACCACGTTTGTTCTTCCCCAGGGCCTGTATGCCACACATCTAGTATTCTAGTGGCAACTCCTGTCGGCTCCCAGACTTATGCAATGATCTCTGATATTCAAAGCATCCAGCCCCAATGATGAATAAAAGTTGCAAATTAAGCTCACTGTCCTACGCAAACTCTCAGTCAGTCCACCTCACTAGGTCTCTTCAACACCTAAAGCTCCATCCCAAGAGTCAATCAGGGGCCTAGAAAGGCCCTTCTGTCCTTTTCTGTAGTATGTGGGAACAGTTTTCTCCACCCCCTGGTGCCTTTGTAGGCTAAGACTAGGTTAGGTCTACCCTGCTCAGCCCCTGCAGAAGGGGATGGCTCTATCCAGGGATAGCCCTTCATCAACTGAAATCCTCTGCTGCTTTGACCCAAGACCCTCACTCGCTAATTACTTCCTTGACAATTACCGTGAAAGCTGCCTATGGCCTTGTCTTCTAGCCTTTATCTCGTTTCTTAAAGTTTCACTCTTGCAGTTCCATTTGTATAATGTGTGTAGGATGGTGAACACAGGAAATTCAGTTCTGTCAGGCCTATGGGACAAGGACTGGGGAGCATAGACCAAACTATATGGAGGAACTAGGGCCCCAAATTAGCAAAAGTTTCAAGCACTGTAACTACATTTAAAGCCAACCCTTGTCAAGCCTACCAGAGCAGCTGATAAGTCTGCAGAACAGTGAGGCATTGTGTCCTGGATTGTCTGGGAGCCCAGTGTCAGTCTGTAGGAATGCGGGAAGTAGAACAGAACGGCCACAGGACTGTCCTGGGGCCAGCTTTCCTTAGCTCTGTAGCCTGGCAGTCTGACCCACAGTTACCCTCACTGGAAGGTAATAGCTGCTCCTCCCCTCTCCTTTCTCTTCCCGTATAAACTGGGGGATAAAATGGTATCAATGCTAATGATTTCCAGGGTGAACATGAAACCAGAAGTTTCCTTCTCTGTAATTTGCTATGAGGGAAAACGCAAGTGAAAAAAATAAATATGTACTACACCTTGAAATATTTTAACTAAAGCCTTTATTCTATACAACTGTGAAATACAGATTTTTTTTACCCTTTTGGCATTGCAGACTGTCAGATTTTCTGGAAACTGTATTACTGGTGAGACTGGAGGGGAAAAACAAAAATATAACCATGCTGGGGGTCAGATCTACAACAGAGGGGACACAGCCACCCAAGGCTCAGTACACGGGGCAAAATGACCCAGCAAAACATAGTCCTTTAGCTCAAAGGCCCCTTGTGCAAACACAGCTGAGGGCTGGTAAATGAAATTTTTTTTTTTTTTTGCCATTAGTTCACAACTATTGCTAAAAAATGTGCACCAAAAGCGCACTATTGTATCCAACAGATAGAAAGGATTTTAAAAAAAAGAATCTGGTTGCTCTGAGGAAAGGATAAAGACCACCTCAGCTCCTTGGAAATGTGGCTGTGTCTCTGCTCACTTCTTCAAGGTGCAAGAGGTACACTTTCCAGAGTTAGCTGACCAGCAGTGAGGGAACCCTGTCTCTGCAGTTGTGCGGATCAGAATATCTCAAATTGTAAGGTATGGACCTGGGTCCATAATCTGCCCCTAACTGAACCTGTGAAGATGTAGAAAAGAAAAACCTTCCTCAGCCTCCTCCCCAGTCCCTGCTACTGTGGGGACAGGCCACACACAAGCTGGGGAGGCAACTGGACTGGAATAAACTGCCCTCTGAAGGCACTTGTGCTTCTGGCTTCATACAAGGAGGCTAGTCTTACGTAGTTTTATGGGAGTGGACCATTGATCTATGCTGAATACAAATGACCTTGGGAAGAATCCAAAGTATTTTCTGCCAAAAGTTGAAGTGTTTATCCCCAATAAGTTATATTCTGTACAAGATCCAAATGATTCTATGAAAGCTTTAGATTGTTAGAAAGAACAGTGAAAAGAAGATCTGGATACAGGTACAACAACAAAACCTGCATATAAAACTTTGGAAAAACAAATATGTATACTTTCCAGATATGAATATCAAACTAACTATGATATCCCTTTACTGTGACATAAATTTTAGGTAGCATCTGAATGAAATTAAAATTTCATCATGGTCTTGTTTTGATGGTGTCAAGCTGTTCACCCAGAGCAGGAAGCTGTGGTCTCAGTTGCTTTGCCCATGAATAAAGCTGCACACTGGAGGAAGGTGCGAACAGTCGCGCCTCCCAGAGGCTGCGTTAATTCCAGCACCTGGAACTTCAATAGCTCTACTACAAGAACACATCTGAGATGCAATATTAAAAATGAGCCCAACATCAGTTATTTATTATGAAGTGGGCTGGCTCTCGAATTGTGCAACAGCAAATTCCCATTAAAAATAACTTTCAAACGGTGAAAACAATTAGATTTTCTTTCTATGACAAACTTGGAAAAAGCCTTCATAGGTACTGCATGAATGGAATGTACTCTTAGAAAAGCTACAGAGCTTGTGGGTTTGAAATTGAAACACAGTGACAGATGTGGCCCTACGGATGTTCTATAACAAGTGCTAACAGACAAAGATAAGGTCCCTTGAAAGAAAAAGAGGAAGCAAAGTCTGCACTGGCCTGTCATTAGTTCTCAGGACAGAGTCTGCCTGGGGCTCTTCTGCTCTCGCACTCTGCTTCCCTGGGGGCAGCTTAATCTACACGTAGAGACTGGTTTCTATATTACATCTCAATTAGTCACTTCAATTGAAAGATAATCTCGGTCCATACCAAATTGGCCATTAGAAGTCTTGCTCCCATTGGGGATCAGTGGGCTTCCTAGGACTACTCTTGGGGCCATAGAGGAAGGTAGTAAATGAATACCCAGGAGCATAGGCCCACCCTTCACGTGGACTTCTGACGGTAATGGAGGGTGAGATCACCACCACTTTTCCATATGAAGTGTTTCACTGTTCGAAGGTCCATATTTGGATCCAAAACCTGAATAGCAAAAAATACATTAAAGATTTCAAAGTCTCTAATATCTAAAACCTTCATCCTTTACTGAGGGACTTGCAACCAGAGGGCACAGCTTGTTTACTCCTACCCCATGCCTGTTGGTACAGCTTTCATGCATGCAGCCGGGAACCTGGGCACAGATGTGTATCTTTTGTAACTCTGCCAGAATACTTTTCAGCCCTTCCGCTGAAGAAGTACCTTCAGTGCATCTCGATTTAAAACAGTACCACCATTTCTCCATCCATCTCCACTGCACATCTTAACTAACACAACAGATGTTGCTTTGCAAATCAAGACAACTTTTTTTGCTCATCAGAAAAAAAGCTATTCGCATATTCACATTTGTCTACATGTGTTTTTAAATCTGTGTCCCTTTACTAAAAACCATCAGGGGAAACAGGAGCTTTAGGTTGGGCTGAAGAACCCCTCTGGAAGGGACACACACACACACAGGTAGGGGAGACCCAGAGCTTAGAGCTTCTGTATAAGCAGAACTCCCCAAGAGATTTGGGGACTACAATCACACCACAGTTATGTAACTTTCTGAGTACCAGCACTAGAAAAGAAATAGGGCTATGGTCCTCAAGTTTGTTTACCTGGTCCTGGCATAAAAGTTCAATTTTCTCCTCTGCCAACACAGCAATATCCTCTTCTTTTTCCTGTTCTCCTGGTTTTTCATTATTAGAAGAACTAGTGGTTTGAGACTCATTATCCAGGTTGATGATTTTCTCATAAACATGTTCCATTACTTTCCGGACTTGGAGCATGTCACTAGCAGACAATCTATCTCTGTAAAAGGTAATGGACTATTGTGACACCAAGAAAAAACATGAGATTTTGTTCAAACATACCACAGAAACATAAATCAATATTTTTTTACCATTGTCTTACACTATTTTTAGAAATGTCAAAGACTTTCTGTAGTGTCCCAAAGGCACAGATTATGTGTAGGTAAATGAGATTAAGCACATTCTTGAAACTTAACATGCAGAACAACCTTCTGGATTTTATTTCCTTAAATTTTCTCCCTAAGCACAAGCAAATTAAAGAATCAGAAAAGCCCAGTGCTCTTGGGGCTCAATTTTCCTTGGGCTCTTTCCCACTGCCACATCTTCAACTAGCACCTGAGGGAGATGATGCCTCAGTCTAGACCACAAGCCTCGAGACTGGGCATCTCCAGTTGGCTGGCCCAAAACAGACTCATCAGTGCCTTCATCCCCAAACCTACTTCCTATCTTTGACATAAGTCAACAGGCATTAAACCGAGTAGCTAAGGTTTCAACTGTAAAAGCCATCTGGAACTTCAGTCATTCAATCTATCTGAAGTGATGTCCAGGACATGCTTTAAAATAATCCAGTGTGTCTGTGTGGAGGGAGATGGCTGGAAAGGTAGGTAGAAGTATAGGTGAGCAAGATGTTTAGCCAAATATTGATAATTACTGAAGCTGTCTGATGGGTCACTGGATACTCATTATTCTATTCTCTTTGTGGAAGTTTTAAAATCTTTGTAATAAAACAGTTTTTAGTAATCTAAGTGATTTTACTTCCTAGGGTATACACAGTGTTCCAAGTTCAGTGTCTCATTCTCAGACTACTAAAATTCTTCTCTTGGGTCATCTTGCTTTGAGCTTCTCCCTAAGTTACCTTTCATGTCTTCTCAGATATTTCTGGTGTTTGGTCACTATATGCTCTATGGCTTGGCATTCAAATTCACTGCTGAGGAAACCTCACCTTTCTAATTTACCTCCTAGAACCCCCTGCTACCACTCCAGCCTATGCTCATGTACCCAGAGTACATGAGTTCTCAAACACCACTTTCCAAAATCTTGAGCATGCTCTTGCTCCCACGTGTCTGAATGAGCTGTGCCCTGCACTGTCTTTTGAAGTTCTACCCACCCTTACAAGTCCAGCTCAAATCCCAGGTTCTTCAAGAAGACTTTCTGGAAAGCTCCAGTCAAAAACTCATTTCTTTCCCCCACTCTCATTATTCCTTTTGTATTTACAACAGCAGTTAATATACACAGGTTGGGTACTAAACTGGATTTTGGCAAAACAAAATCCATCAACATGATAAACCAGCCTTAGACCTAGTCCTTGCTTCCTGTGCTATAAAGCAATCATCAGAAAAAGGAATTCTCTCCATCAATTATCTAATGATCAAGGAACCACATGGGCCTACATTTACTTACTTTTTTAAGGTTTTTGCTCCTGAAGATGCATGAGGTTGGAGGTAGAAAGGAATTTTGTTGAATTTGGGCATATTTTTCTGAAATAGTAAAATTAAAAAGGGTATAATAGTTTCCATTAGCTGATAAACTAAAATGCTGTCAATAGGAAAATATGATTTACAAATAATTATTTTACAATGAAAAGTGACTATCTAACTTATAATAAACTATTAAACTATGTCAGCCTTACAGAAAATTTATCAGAAAAAAAAATTACATTTAGTTTTGTAATAAAAGATATGTGAAGGCAAATTATATGGAATATTAGTGGCAATATGAACTTGTAGCATGGCTCATCTTAAATAATAGTACAGGTATTAAAGGAAAACAAACTTTAATTTTTTAAACATATAAACTAAAACCTTAACTCTATATTAAAATACTGGGCTAATACCTAAAGAAACTTAAGTGTCTTAATAAAACCCCACAACATTCACCTCTGAGCCAAGCCAGACTTATGCAGGTGGGGGCCCATCACTCAACTGAAATGGCAGTAAGGCCCTCCCGCTGCCTCTCCCTCGACATCATGGTGAGGGCTGGGAAAGAGTGGAAACGCGGCCAACAACCTGGGCATCTACCATGAAATAACCCTCATGGTAAATGAAGGATAAAACCACCTGGTCATCTTTTCTTGGGGTATTAATCCCCTCCGAGCTTCTCTGTCATAGTGTCTGGATGTGTCCTCTCAGATTTGCGCCACAGGCCTACAGGCAGTAATGCAAACCGGCTGAGTTTTACACTCAAAGGAAGGAGTGGTGTGTGGACAGCTCGGACATAAAGAAGACCACAGCATAGCCATCAGGTGTCACAGTGGCTTTAAGTTCTTGGGGTGTATCTGGGACAAAGCAAATTTCTAAAGGTTCTAGAGATTAAATTCCTTTTCATATGGCTTAGGAATGTACAAAATAGGTTAACAGTACATCAGAGAGTCTCAGAAACAGACCCAGGTGTATATAGAAATTTAGTGCACAATAAAGATAGCATTTCAAATTAGTAGGAAAAGAATAGATTATTCAATAAATTGTGCTAGCACACCGGCTATACCTGTGCAAAAAGAATCTTACCACACACTAAACAGAAGAATAAATTCTAACAGATTAAAGATCTAGACATAAAAGAAATTATCATAAAGGTACTAGAAGAATACAGGAGAATATTTTTTTGCTATTCTGGAGTGGGAAATACTTGAACAAGACACAATACTCAGCCATGAGGGACTGATTTTATAAAAATTAGAACTTTTCACCCAGCAAAAGACACCATGAACAAAGTGAAAGTTTAGCTGAGAGATATAAAGAATAGTCAAAGGGTTAATATTCAATATAAAGAACTATAGATCAATAAGAAAGACAAATAACCCAACAGAAAAATGAGTAAAGAATACAACAGCCAATTCACAGAAGAAATACAAATGGCCAATATGAAAAGATGCTTAACCTCACTATGAAATTAAAAAACAAAACAAACAAACAAAAAAAAAAAACCTGCCTTAAAAAAATAAGGTATTTGCCTATCTTATAGCAAAGATTAAAAATATCCAGTGTTGGTATCGGTGTGGAGAAACAGATGTTTATATGTTGTTTGTGAGAGTGTAAACTGGTACAGCCTTTGTGGAGGGCAATTTGGCAATATCTATCAAAATTTAAAATGTGCATACCCTTTGATCCAGCAATTCCACTTCTAGGAATTTATCCTAAAAAGTACACAAAGATATATGTACAAGGATGTTCACTGCAGCACTGTTTGTAATAGAAAACATTGGAAACAACCCAAATGTCCATTAATAGGGGACTGATTAAGTAAATTCTGGTACATTTACACAATGGAATACTATGCAGTCATCAAAAGGGAACGATCCGTAAGTACAGACATGAAAATATGTTCACGATACATTTTTAAGTGAAAAAAGTTGCAGAACAGTTTTAAAAGATATTCTGTGCAAAATAAAATGAACTATACACACATATATGCACACAAATAATATATACTTGTGTATGCAATGAAACAAAAGTACTGAAAGCTCTACATTAACCTATTAACACTTGTTACCTTTGGGAGGAAAAAATAGGAAGTGAATGGCGAGGAGTGAGGGGAGAAGAGACAGGCATTTCACTTCATTCATTTAATATTTTGTTAAATAAGCATATATTGTTATAATTAAAATCCAATAAAAACAGAAATAAATAATTATCAATACTACTTCTGCAACTTTGGAATGGTAAGGAAGCAGATGGAATTCCACTTGGAAATCTAGCTTTTATTAAATTTAAGATCACATTGTCTAAAGCAGTTCTTATTTTTATGAATTGGAAAAAAATAAAAGGGCAAGGTTCGAGTAGAGGACACTTACATCCACAGTGATGTCAATTACCCATTGTGGCACTGTCTCATTGAGAAGCATCGACTCAGTCTCACCCCCGGAATCTCGGCAGAGCAGCCTAAACACAACCCATTAGGTAGTGAGTAACACAACAAGCACAGATGACATGATCAATACTAATCAACATTAGAGGGAGGAACCTGCCTAGATCTCACTGAGGATGATCCCTACTTGACAGCTGAGGAAATGAAGCGCAGCAGGCACAGGACTCAGTGAACCTGGGCACTGGCTTGAACCCCAGGCCCTCTGCGCCTGAGGCCAGGCATACACTATAGCTGCGTCTCTAAGTCCTTGGGGCACAATAAGAAAACAGTGAAGCAAAGCACTCAAGAAAGGGCCTGTGCCAGTGCCACAGGTCTTCATAGGCAGGATATTTTTGGTGATCACTTTCAAGAAACCACCATAAAGGGAGAGAATGCAAGGCTCAAGGGCAAGATTAGCATTCTTACTTCTGGGACCCAGAGAGGACTAGCGAACTCTTGCATTTGGTTCCACCACAGTCCTGCTGGTAACCTGAAGGGCCTCACAAAGGACTGCTTGGCACTCCAGGGTAGGCCAGTGCTGGGCACATCAGTTCTAGAGCCGCCCAGCATTCCTTGCCTGGTCTACTCTGATGCTCTCCTATGGGCAGTGACATGTGGTGATGCCATAGGTTCCCTGACCCTGGCAGTCATACTGGCAAAGTAAGAATTTCCTGCAGAAATCACCAGAGGTGCTGCCTGGGGGCAGGATATCTACCTGGTCCCAACACCAGAGGCCACCTCAGACAGAATGTAGTCTGATGGCATCAGATGGTTAACTATTTCATGAAAGTGGAAAAACTTCTAAATTCCTGACATTCCTAGAAGTTAGTAATAAGTAACTTCTAACACCCGTCTGAGTCAATAGTCTTAGCAAAAGGGATGCTCTCTCAGGCAAGACCTCTGGTCCTTCTTTACCCATACCTGAACAACGTGCGGCCTCCAGCTTCACCAAAGATCACAGGTGTGTGTGGTGGTACTTGAAAATATCCATTTCCCTTCTGCACTCGGTTCTCCTGCTCCCCATTTACTAGGAAAAGATGCAGATTGTGTCATTATCCAGAGTTAGCAATGCTAGAAACACAGACTCAAAGCCTCTTACTTCCACGGGCTTTAAACACAGTAAGATTTTTAGAGTCAAAAGTCCTTTAACCCAGTCAGAATTACAAATAAAGGTCAAAAACAAAAGTTGAATTCCTGAAAATAAGAAACAATTTGTGTTGTACCTCATGAGAAATGACTATACTGCAAGATTTTAATAAAAGCAGAGATTAATGTTTGAGATTCTGTTTTGAACATAACCAGCTACTTCAGCCACAAGGAAGTCTAGGACTTCTGTTTATAAATGATCTGTATTTGTTTTTTTGGCATTTGGTAGAAAACCAACCTCAGAAAAATTTCTACAAGGAAAAACAATATGTTTAATGGTAGCCCTAGTGAATGGCAGAAGTCTCTCTTTCATGAACATGACTCTGAATAAAATTGGAAGCAATCTCACCTTCTGAAATCCTATAGCATTCTGCAACTTCTCTCATCACAAAATGCTATAGTATGTAGCTCTCCAACCTACCAGAACATCAGGCCCGGAAGGACAGAGTCCACCATACCCATTTATCTTTATTAAGCCCCCTGCAACTTGCTAGCGGCTTCTGAACACTCAAGCTGTTCACAATGCAATTTCCAAATAATGCCAACATATCCACTGAGCAGGATGCAGGTGTCACAGGAGATTCCAAGACAGGTGGAGTGTGTAGTGACCTGAGCTCTGGAAGAGGAGGTGGGCAGGCTTTGCCCTGCCTTTAACATGACAGCTTGATCCTAAGAATGGTGTAGGGTGTTTTGGTGATTTCTTCCTTACTGCTCCACCTACAGCCTGGATCCAAGAAGTACTGTTTTTTTGATTGCTTAATCCTCACAGTTTATTTGAGCCTCTGAGATAATCCTAACTAGAAATAACCTGCTCAGAGCTGCACAGTTGACAAGTGGCAGAGCTCACACCAGAACCTAGTTTTCTTGACCCTCTGTAGAAAAGATCTTCCATTAGTTTGTCTGGCTTCCAGTTCATGGTACAATTATGACAGGGAGAGAAGTGGGCCAAGTGAAGTAAAAAAAAAGACTCCATGATGGGTTAGTGAGCTCTCTGAAAGAGACACCTGCAGACTGGTAGTCTGTTTTTTTTTGTTGTTGTTGTTGTTTTGTTTTGTTTTTGGTACCAGGGATTGAACTCAGGGGCACTCGACCACTGAGCCACATCCCCAGACCTATTTTGTATTTTATTTAGAGAGAGGGTCTCACTGAGTTGTTTAGTGTCTAGCTTTTGCGGAGGCTGGCTTTGAACTCACGATCCTTCTGTCTTGGCCTCCTGAGCTGCTGGTTGCAGACTGGTTTTGAGAGAAGATGAAGCATGTCATCACCCTGAGAAACTTAAATTGCACAAATCACTATGGATCAATCTGTAGGCCAGAATGAAGTTCATGAAAAGTGGTGCTCGCCATTGCCATTGCTGCTTATTCCTGGTGGTTGGTGAGAGGCATCAGCAGAGTCACCCTCAGGAGCTGGGACTTAGAGACTCCTCAAACAGCTGCAGTTACACGTGACATGTGAAATTCTAAGTTTGTTCTTTCTTTCCCCTTCCTTTAACCAAATTGCATACCTTCAAAATATATTCTCTTCTGCTGCCCACAAAAAGTTATTGCCATTGTCTGTGGCACACATGCCTTTTGAATGTACTTCATGACATCAATTCTTCACACATACACACTTACCTTACTGCTTCTGAATTAGAATGCTATCTGAGTCAAAATCAGGTAATCATCAGGCTAAGTACCAACATTTCACACCAATGTGAAGTATGACTATGCAATAACAACGCTGGCTTTCTGGTATAGTTAATTCGCTATCTGGGTGGTAGATTCAGGTCACATACATTCTGAGGAATATTTGTGGAATAAGCTTGCTAAGCTTAGTTTTAAGGCAAATTTCACTTGCATGCGTAGTGGGTATTACAATTTTACCTATCTTGGGCAGTCTCACTCATAAAAAGCCACACCAAACAGTGGTCTGCTCTCTTGTAATCTCAGTCTCAGCTAAGACTGGATGGACACTCCCACTTTAAGATGCAGAAGGGAAGACAATTATTTGGGCTTACCACAAATATTTATTATGTCACATTTTAGCAAATAGTTTAAGTACCTTTGGTCCTGAGTAACTCTTAATCAATTTTCTAAATATAAAAACACTAACCATGGTTTACTTCATTTTCTTCTTCATCCATTGGATTCACATGTGTTCTAGGCCAATATTCTAGGAGTGCCTGGAGTAAAAGTCCTCCCAAGTTCACTGCAAAAAAGTTAAGAGAATTAATTAGTTATAACCTAGAAATAGAAGAAATAAAAATATTCTGATGTTGAATTCTTAAACCAATACCCATAATATTTAAAATCGAGACTTAAGTATTTGTCAAACCTGTTAAAATTTTATCTTAAAATGTTTATAGCAGGCATGGTGGTGCACGCCTATAATCCCAGCAGCTCGGGAGGCTGAGACAGGAGGATCACGAGTTCAAAGCCAGTCTCAGCAATGGCGAGGTGCTTAGCAACTCAGTGAGACCTGTCTCTAAATAAAATACAAAATAGGGTTGGGGATGTGGCTCAGTGGCCGAGTGCCCCTGAGTTCAATCCCTGATAGCAAAAAAAAAAAAAAAAAAAAAAAAAAAAAAAAAAAAGTTTAAAGTAATGATGACATAGGACAAATACTTTACATGGTTATTCTAAGTAGCCACTCTCCAAAAACAAATGAAAATAAGAATCACATTCTTTAAAGGGCTAATTCCATATGAAGCTGCTAAAACTGTATCTACACACATTAAGCATCTATGTCTATATTTCTACCTCTATTTCTACATACCATAACTGATAAAACATAAGGGACTCTGTACAAAGACAAATAGATAGCAAAAACAACACAGATGTACTTTCTCCTATGGAAGGAGAAAGAGAAGGAAAGGCACTTAACTCACATTTTGGATCTGACCCATCAGGGCTGCTGAAACCAGCATCTTTTGCAGAAACCCAAGCAGCAAAACAGTCACTCTCATCCAAAGTAATAGTCAGCATCTGTCAAAAGAAAAAACTGATCATCCCATTCCACTTGAATATATTCTTCAAATAAGTCTCTAAACCTTTATTTATTTGTACTAGTTGACTAAAGTGCTAAGCCATAGATTCAAGAATCAAAATGTATTTGTGCTTCAACAACACTACAATTTAGTTTACTGAGATACCAAAGGCATTTAAAATGCAATTTGTAAGTATTAATATGAAAAATTCTTTTCTCACTTTTAAAAATACAAAACTCTAAGAATAATTATGAGTTATTTAGAAATCTCCAACTGTCTCAAATTACACAAAGAGCCATAATTAACTTACCCCTGTTTTTAAGTCTACAGAGAACCAATTTGGCACATATACCATTTTAAATCTTTTCTTAATTTCATCTTCAAAATCCACTTTTCCCAGATCTTCAACTTTGCATGCCTATACATTAAAAAATAAAGTATAATAATCAATGTTAAGTGATGAATTGATTTGATTCTTACATTACTACTCAAAAATTTACAATTTTTCACATTTATATAAATGAAATAGACTCCAAAATATAATTTGAAAAGAATGCATCAGTTGTTTTTGAATCTCAAGGCAATTTCCTTTAAATAACTATCTGCTGCTATTAAAAATTTTAATTTAAAAACCCATAAAGTAGGGCTTGGGCTGTGGCTCAGTGGTAGAACACTTGCCTTGCACAGGTAAGGCACTGGGTTCGATCCTCAGCACCACATAAAAATAAATAAATAAATAAATATTTTTAAAAAAAGAAAAAAAAAACAACCCACAAAATAAGCCAGGTGCAGTGGCGCACACCTGTCATCTCAATTGCTTAGGAGGTTGAGGCAGAAGGATCATGAGTTCAAAGCCAGCCACAGCAAAAAGGAAAGCACTAAGCGACTCAGTGAGACCCTGTTTCTAAGTAAAATACAAAATAGGACTGAGGATGTGGCTTGGTGGTTGAGTGCCCCTGAGTTCAATCCCTGGCACAACCTCCTACTCCAAAAAAAGATCCTGAAAATATTCTTTTATCGTGGTGGGGGGAGGTAATTTAATTTTTTCTGACACTAATATAACATACCACCACTTATCTGGAAGCAATATCAAATGAAAGTAAAGAAAAGAAATCCAAAATAAGTTACTAAAAGTGCTTTAAAAGAACTTTGAAGTTACCTTCAGAAAACAGCTAACAGAGGCAGTAATTTTGAAGTTTCTTTCTTGACCATTACAGTCCTTCCCTATTCCTTATCTTAAATAGGTATGCTCCCCAAAGCATCCCCTTAACTTCCTCTGTTGCCAAGAGGCATTTCCAGATATAGCTCACTTCAATTCTGAACCATGTTGGAATGTTCCCTTCATCTCTGCCACTCAGCAACAACTTGTGTTTTTTTTTGCTGAGGGTCCCACTTCATCAATCATCTTCTCAGAGGGAGACTGTACTTACTCTCCGCATTCCACTACTCCCCAGGGCCACACGGAGACCCTTACTTCACCATCGTCATGTAAAACACTACTATTTCTCTGATGCCTATGACATTTAGTTGTAGTCAACTGAATAACTTTCCCTTGCTTCCTCTAGCACCACCATAGCCAGTCTCATTCACTGGAGACTCGAGCCCTGGCTTGCTGTTCTCCAGTCCATCTCAAGTTCTTGCCTTCATCTTGGCAATATCAACATGTACATGGATAGTGCATATGACATGTTGGCCTCTCAATTCCCTGATCATATTGCCATTATAAATCCACAGTCGCCAACCTTAACTGGATCCTTATTACTACCTGGGATTTTTGTTCTGTTTCCAAAGTCAGTTCTCCATATAAGTTTGTCAAATCTCTACTATCACCCTATCTCAGACCTTTCCACTTCCCCCACATCTCTAAGCCCAAATGCCTCTAACTTCTTCTCAAAAAAAGAAGAATCTTGACAGAATTGCCTTTACTTTCTGGTACCATTCTTGTTGGTGCAAAGAAAACTATGTCCATTCTGGGTGTGCTCTGATTTTCTTCACCTCTTGTTTCTTGGTACCTTATGTGTCCACCGGCTTCTCCCCATGAGTAGTGAAACATGCATTAATTGTTCCATCTTAAAAATTCCCAAACACCAAAAACCCTAAACAAACAAAACATTCTCTTGGCCCTCTTATTCCTAATCCTCTAGCTATTGCCTCTTCTTGTATCCCCATTCCCTGCAAACTCAAATTTCTTCGAAGATTATTTCTCTTCAGATTCCCCTTTCTTTATCTACCAATTATTACTGAACCCATTCCATCTGGCTTGTGCCTGTAAGACTTCCCCAAGACTATCCCTTTTATTGGTTAAATTAACATGCATGTTAGTGTCTTTATCTTAAATGAACTCTCAGCTGGCTGATGCAACTTGTGGTTACAAGTTCCTTTCTGAAATATTCCATGTTCTCAAGCTGCTACTGGGTCTTCTTATCCCCTTTCATCACACATCTCTGTGCTTCCTTTTTCCAACATTCCTGACAAGAGTGATAACTGAATTATTCTCTAATCAGTCTAGTCATAGCTCTTGGAAACTCCTGCATTTCCTATGACAGCAGTTGCAATCTACAAGCTGCTAACTGCTGAACTGTTAATCCAGCTCAGTTCTTTAACCTACACATTAGATTGTACAGCTGTCTGCCCACCAGACACTTCCACCCAGCTCTCATACACTCAAATCCACCCTCTTTCTCAGCATGTCACTCTCTCTCCTCAATCCATTTTCCATCTTATATTCCCAATATCATTTCCACTCACTCACCAAACTGTTCAATCCGACTCATCCTGCTTCCCTGCTTCCCCCTTTCCTCCAAACTGCCTCATTCTTTGCATCCCCCTTATTTCCACCCCAGTCTAGACAAATACCACCTTTCACCTGTATTAGTGCAACAGTCTCCTAAAGTAGTATATGCAAGGCACCGTAATAAATAAAAAAATTCCTGAACATCCCCTTGACATCACCAAGAAATAGGTAACCTCCACATTTTAGGAATGGAGACCTAGGTTTAGAGAAGTTCAGCATATTCTATAGATCGCTTGGCTAGTAGCTGGCAGAGTCAAGAGTAGAAGGCAGCTCTATTGTTCCTAAACACTCTTAACTTCCCTTCACTGTTTAATGTCATGCTTATTACATCCCATCATTTGACATCAAAACTCCTAGGTGTAGTATCTGGACGTAGGAAACTATAAGGCACATAGAAATGCCACCATGGTGCATGCTAGCTCAGGTACCCATCTAAGTAGAACTTTCTCCTACTCACATAGCAAGACCCTACTCAGGCATCAGCTAACAAGACCAAGAGTTGGTAATAGACCCATAGGCAGAAAATGGATGGGTCCTCTCAAAGAGCAGCTTGTCTGATCAGATTCTCTTGGGTGTTTGGAAAACAATTAGGTGCTGGGCAGCATGAGGCAATGTCCAGCCATAAGACAGAACTCAGGCCATGTGGACTAACAAAGAGAGGAATAAAAAATTCTGCTGATGAGTTTCTTAGGGAAGCCTTGGATCCTCCTAATCACCATGGGACCCCTTTGAAATAAAGATACAACTCTATCTTTCTGAAAAGCATCTATCTACCATAGAGAAAACCAGATCAGACCTTCAGTGCCTGCCTCAATTAAACTTTCCAGTCAAGTAACTAAGGCCTCTTGTTCAGAAGGCATTTCACCCAGCAACTGTTTCGTAATGAACTCCCACATAGCTGCCCTACAAGAAGGAAAAGCAATGATCAGGCCAAAAATTCTATTCTATTCAGAGGCAAGTTACTTTTTCCCACAGAGAAACCTGCTTATCTTATTCTTTAGATCATGAAGTTAACTTGACTGAATCTCTCATTCATCCTTATTGACAAAGAGCTTAACCAAAACATTAGGTCTTTTCAATTCTTCCTTTACAATATACACAAAACCTGTCTCCCCTTAGATTGTAAAATCATATGCTTAAGACAACCATCTTCTGGCTGACAGTTTCCTATTACATATACAACTACTACTCTGAACTTGATATTTTCTTGCTCTAAAATTATCTAGATTCTTTAGGGAGTACCAGAGAAAGGTCAACTCCAGGACCTGCAACTTAAGACTCTTTGGGAAATGACTTAAGTGTCACATTTTATCCTTATACCTCCACCACTCCCTTATAAACAAAACTGTTTATCTTGATCTAAATAAAGCATGTGCCTCCCCTAACCAATACCTCTGTTATTCCCTCCACTTCTTGAAATTCCCTACCTCCATATGCCATCTTCAGGACATCTTTAAGCCCTTGTTCAAATGCTTTCCCCACCATGATGCTCTGCTGACTTATCCAGCTGTAACTGCCTTGTTCATAGGCTATTGAATAATCTGTTTATTCTTTAAGGTTTTCACATTTCATTTCTTTAGTCCCTCCTACCCTTTTCCATCATTTATGGCCCTCAAACATAATTGTTTACCCACGCTATTCACTCAATCCAGGAAATATCTGTTGAACAAATATACCAAGAACCCTAAGAAGGGACACTTGGCAGAATTTTCAAAGGAAATCAATTTCAATCTGTCTACCAATTCTTCAGTGCTGTTTAGAATGTGGGTGAACAGCTTAATGCACTTCAACTATCCCAAAGGCTGAGGACAATGTGACCCAGGATTGCAACTGCTACCCACAATAATGGTTATAAATCTAAAGAAAGAGTCAAACTTACTTTGTGCACCCCAGTGGGTGTTAACCTGAGGTTATTTTGTATCCTTCTTCCTCCTTCTCTCCAAACATCTCTCCAAACATTTGGTAATATCTGGAGATAAGTTTGGCTGTCACAACTTGAATGGGGTAGAAATACTGGCATTTAGTGGGCAGAGGCTAGGGATACTGCTAAACCTTCTGCAGTTCACATGACAGCTTTCTCTCACACCAAGGAACTGTCCAGCCAAAAAAATCAACAGTGTAAACAATGAAAAACTTCAAATGTGTTCATTTTTAGGTAAGACAGCATGGATACTAATACACTAATCAGAGAAAATGGTTCTTTTCAAACAATTTAGGTGCTTAAAAAGATAAACTATCACCTTATCTAATACAAACATATTAAGAATCCACTCCTAAATAATTTTATCTTAATTATCATATATGTAAAAGGAAATATAAAGGGGGAACATGAAACAACAAGCTATATTTAATCCAAAAAAGATACGTACCTTCAATACATCCCAATATGCCACATTATTATTGGTATCTTTGGTTAATATATGTCTCTTATCATTAAGAATGTGGCACTGAATAATACTTGCACCCCCTAAAGGGGAAAAAAAAACACAATTAGTGAGACAATCCTTTCATAATTAAATTCACACTATGGCAGTAATTATTAATTGGCATATAATAGAAACATTAACCGTATGAGCTATCAAAAAGGAGAAGTCAAGTCCGAAGATTATATAATATACCCAAGGTACTTTAAGGTCAATCAATTACTTATGTTTCATTATTTGAATTTATAAACAAAGAAAAAATTGTCTGATTTAATAACAGAATATAGATTAAAGAGCTCTTCACTTCATGGGGCTATTTACTACCACTGTAGAGTTTTGAGAGCCAACAGTTTTATTCACAAGTAAAGTTCAAATAATGAGAGGTCATCTCTGAATTGGTCCCCATCTCCCTCTCTCTTTCACTTCCTGCAGGGATACCCTACTCCAAAGGCAGAAGCTCAAACATCTAGAAACAAAAGAGAAATGTGTTGCCTAGGATTCTAATCCCAAGCTCTAACACATTAAACATATTCTGCTTTTTGCCACAACCAGATGAAGTATGTAGAATTTGAGGGCTACATATGTCTTTTCTGACTTGTGCCAAAAGAACACATTGAACCCTATACACTTTTCAGAGAGGCTTCTGTTTTACCCGAGCTATTCTGCTGCTGGACCTAAAAATTAACTCAAGAATAGTGCTGCCATAAACATGGGCATTCAGGTTATCTCTCTGGTATGCTGTAGATGTACACATACACACACATACAATGGAATATCATTCAGTCATAAAGAATGAAATTCTATTATTTGCAGCAAAATTAATGGAACTGGAGGACATTAGGGTAAATGAAGTAATTCAGACACAGGTACAAGTATTTCATGTTCTCTCTTACATATGGAAGTTTAAAAAACAAAAAAAAAGGTGACCCCAAATATAAAATAGTGATTATTAGAGGCTGGGAAGGGGCAAATGATAGTGGATAAAGGGAAGCTGGATTTGATTAGTGCTTGCTGTATTCATGTATTACCACACTAAGCCCCATTAATATGTACTATTAATACATGTTAATAAAATTCAAAACACCCATTTTTAGTCACTAAGTAGCATTTTTAAAAATAACTCAAAAATAAACCCATACATTAATAGTCTTTTGTGTTCATCAAAATTAAATTTATAGAAAGATCATTACCTTTGTTCTTGTCAATCTTTTAGTAACTATCATTAACTTCAATAAAAAGTATGATACCTTTCAGTTTCCTACTCACCTTTAATAACCTGGTCAGGCTGTGTACAAAGGGGAGTTATAGGATTTGTACAGTCGTTGTCATAATCTCCCGAGGCTCTAAAATTATGAATTCCCTTCAATGTCTAAAGGAACAAAATTTGTTGTTTAATCATTTTCTGTTTTACATGCTTTGCCAGTCTAAGAAAAATAAATCTAAAAAACAAGCAAATTAGAAAATTTCAACAACTAGAACAGCTACCAAAAAATATTTAGTCACAGTACCATCATTAAAAAATAAATATTAAAGAGGGAATATCATCTTATCGGAGAAAAAACTAGGCATGAAAGCAGGAATACTCTTCCAGGCAAAATTATGTTGATCACAAATTGGTACAAGGAAAGTTAGACAAGATAAATAAAAATTTTTATAAGTATTCTGAAAGGGAATTTGACCTGAATATAAACAGGAATAAACACAAACAACCTTTCCTTTGTAATCTCCAAATAGTCTGGTATGTAAGAAAACTTAAATCTTCTTTAAGATTTCAAATTAACAGTACTTTAGATGACTTCTATCCCTGTTATTCTATTTTTATACCTGTTCTTCATGCTAAGAAGAAAAAAGGACATATATGTGAAAGCACAATTTTATGCTTTCTCTTAAGATGTAGAAAGATAAGAATCTTGATGAGGATCTGCCTTGCTGGTACCTGGATGGCCTATTTTCCAATGCAGCTTTATGAGGCTGGAAGCTGGCTTTATCAGGCAACAGAGCCTGTTCTAAGCACATCAGACATTTATGCTGGCTCATGACAAGGGTATCATGGTTTTGATTAGACTACTAACTTTAGAATGACCCTCAGGATCACACCTACATTCATAGGGGCTTTCAGGTTTTTGCCGCTACTCAGAGACATACTAAAAGTCAGGTTCATATTAAGCACTTGCTACTGGTATCTGGAAGGTCCATGTTAATAAACCAAATATTTGCAAACCTTTGCTAGGAATTCAGTGGCTCACTTACCCATTTATTTACTGTAGACTTAGTTGTTGCAACCCAGATTGCAGGAGGGGGATCAGCTGATCTATCAAGCTCCATCTGAAAACAAGGCACAAAAATATTGCTTCAAGGAAAGTCGACTGTCATGAACTGCCAGGCTCAGCTAACACATTATTAAATATCAACTCATTTGTTCTAACAATTGGAAGTTCACTACATAAGGGACATATTAAAAGCTCAGATGACCAGAATAAGGAGTCTCTTTGCTAAAGGAATTCATAGTCCTATAAAAGTGTAGTAGGAGGAACTTCTCAGGAAAACAGCGGCTGAAAGATTTTTTTTTTTTAGGTTTATTTCTAAGTATTTTATTCTTTTGGCACAATTATAAATGGATTTGTTTTCAGAATTTCCTTTTCAGATTGTTCACTGTTACTGTATAGATGCTCAACTGATTTTTATGCATTGATTTTTTTTCCTGGGGGTGGTGGTGGGTAACAGGGATTGAACTCAGGGGCATTTGACTACTGAGCCACATCCCCAGCCCTATTTTGTATTTTTTTATTGAGAGACAGGGTCTCACTTAGTTGCTTAGTGCCTTGCTATTGCTGAGGCTGACTTGGAACTTGTGATCCTCCTGTCTCAGGTCCCAAGCCACTGGGATTACAGGCATGCTCCACCATGCCCAGCTTATGCATTGATTTTATATCCTGTGACTTTGCTCCACTTATTAGTCCTAATGATTTTTTCTTTTTGTTCTGGTGATAGAATCTTTAGGGTTTTCAACATATTAGATGCTATCATCTATGAAGAGAGATAATTTTACTTCTCCCTTTCTAATATAGATGCCTATCATCTCTTTTTTTTCAATTTATTTATTTTGGTTATACATGACAGTATAATATATTCTGAAAAATTATACATATATAGAATATAACTTATTCTAATTAGGAATGAAAGTTTTAAGTGTGGTTAATTTGAGGGACCTAAATGGATATAGTCGAAAGAACGAAGATGTTTTATAATTTTGTTTTTGCTACTCTAGTTTTTACGTTCTTCCTTTTTTTTTTTTTTTGTGGTACTGGTACTGGGGTTTGAACCCAGGGTCTTGTGCATACAAGGTAAGCACTCTACCAATTGAGCTTTATCCCCAGCCCTTATGCTCTTTCTTAATAACAAGGAAATATATTTCTTTTTTCTTTGAAAATGTAATTAAAAAAAAAAAACAACACAGTAAGAACACAGCAAAAGTCAAGAGTACCCTCACTTAAGAACGGAACATCAGGAATAGATTACCATATATACTTCTGTATTTTTAAAATGCTGCACACATATAAATAACCTTATATGCATGTATGTATATTACATAAGTGCAATCACTTTACATTTATCCACTATTCTTCCAATACTAGAAAGTACAGGTCGGGAGCTGTGGAAACAGGGCTGGTAGCCAGGAATCCATCTTAGTTAAAAGAAATGCTCTTTAAAATATATGGTTATGTTTGTCCCAAATTCTTTTAGTCTCTTCTTCATGGTCAAGAGATTCTGGCAGAGTATTTCTCTTCCAGGCTTGTCTCTATCCATCAATCTGCTGCCTGTCCACATGCTATGTATTGTTACCAGTTCAGACTCAACTCTTTGCTTCTATAAAGGATTATTGGTCCATTACAGTTACCATCTACTTTGGTCCCCTTTTGCTCATATCACAGATCCTGATTATCAGAACTGCTCTGTGGAGTACGAAGAAGCTTTCTCTCTCTTCTTCTTCAGGAATACTTTGTCTACCTCCTTACTCCTAAGACTGTGGACACATTTCCCAGACCTCCCCTATTTTATTGTCTGCTCACAGTAACCTTAACTGCTCACACTCCACCTAAGGACAGGTCAGACAGTCAGAACAGTCAGGAAGTAAGAGATAACCACACTAGAATTCACCAGTAGGAGGAATGTGCATCACTGACAAACCTGAGAAGTCACAGGTGACTTATAAAACTGTTCCAGCACTAACATGCCACCCGCCCAGGTATCTATACGACACTCTTCCATCCAAACAGGTGCCTACTCTTCTTTGCCCTGTCAAGTTCTACCTATGATAAAAGATCTTTTGTTCAATCCCACAGTTGATTCATGTTTTAACACAGACTTTGGTATACTTGGCTGATAAGTTCAACAACCTTAATTGTAAAACTATAATATATGACATACCTTGAGTACTGGTGCTTTTTCTTCACAAATTAGCACTCGAATATCAGGGTTTCTTAAGTCAGTACAATAAATCTTCCTGTCCCTTCCTCCAGAATATACATGTGTGAAGGCATCATTGACCTGCAGAGCCCAAACACCTTCATCATGGACTCGGTATGTTGCTATACATCTCTGTTGGCCAAGAGACCAAAGACGAATTGTTCCATCAGAACTACCAGAGAGGCACTGCAAACAAATAAAAAAAAGGTGAGACCTAACTAAGAAGCTCTTGCTATCCTGTACCTTGTGTATGGTTTTCTACTGACTCTACATAGTCAAGTGCACATATTTAGTAACTTGCATTTCTCTCTGATAAAGGCTTCTGACAGGCAACTACTAGTCTGAAATGACCAAAGGCCAACAGTGCATGATCAAGGAAGGGATACTTTCAGCAAAACTGCCTTTGTTCTCTCTACCTGGCTATCTGTTGATTACCTGTAAATCCTACAGGTGAGTCCTGTTCTGAAGCTCTATTACTAAGGGAGGAAGATGGTTTTTGTTTGTTTGTTTTGAGATAAGGTTTTGCTAAGTTGCCCAGGCTGGACTTGAACTTGCCAAACCCCTGCCCCAGTCTCCCAAATAGCAGGGGTTTTAGGTGTACAACACCACATCCAGCAGGGAGATGGATTTTAAAAACAGCTGAAGATAAATGGCAGTGGTCTGAGCAGCATCAGTCTCCCTGGCAACTTGTTAAAAATGTAAATTCTTTATTTTGACATAATTATATAAAAGCATGCAATATAATTTGTTCTAATTCAGTCCTCAGTACATTCCTCTTCTCTCCCTTTCTCCCACCCTGTCTGTTCCCTTCCCTCTACCCTACTGATCTTTCTGCTATTTACTTATAGTTATTATTATTATTTTTTAAATTAGGGTCTTGTGGATGGTGATAATAGTGAGATTCGCTGTGAAATACTCATGTATGTACATAGGGAAGTTAGGTCAGATTCATCCCACTGTCTTTCCCTAACCCATACCTCCTCCCTTTCCTTCATTCCACTTTATCTACTTCACTAATATATAAAAAGAACAATAAAAAAGGGGTGCAGCTGGGATTGTGGCTCAGAGGTGGAGTGCTTCCCTAGCATGTGTGAGGCACTGGGTTCAACCCTCAGCACCACATAAAAATAAAGATATTGTGTCCACCTATAACTAAAAAATAAATATTTTAAAAAAAGAAGAAAAAAGATTGAACAGCTCTCTTAAGAGTTCTGTACAATCTTTTAAGTTCCTTCTCTAGCCTTGAGCTTTGAATGAAAAAAAAAAAAAAAAAAAGTAAATTCTTGAGTCCCATACAGACCTAATGAGGAGCAGTAGGGTTTAACAGATTATACAGGTAATTCCAATGTACCCTAAGCTTGACAAACACTGCATTAGGCCAGCATGCCTTTTGGAGTCCTGGAGCCAAATCTTTTTCCTTCTCTCATGGCTCCAGATTCTTAACATCCAGTAGAAGCAAGATCTAGTTCCAGGCTTAGCACTCACTCTCTGTGAGTGGACACTTTCTACATGATTCTAACAATTTCTGAAAGTTCAGAAGAGTCAATGACATAGAGATTGGTAGCACACAAATTAGGGCCAAGCACACTGTGAGTCTAACAGAAACAGGCAGAATTAGCCACCTCACATTCACATTCAGCATGCTTAGTGTTCTGGACCAGTTACCGTGGAGACTTGCAAAGAGGATAAAAACTTCATTTCCTTGGGAAAAAGAATGGCCCTAAGGACCAAGCAACTCCTGTTGCTGGAGTATGAAATTAAGTAAGAAAAGAACTTCAAAGAAAAGATAATTAGGGCCTTCATGATTTAGAAGGTGCTTGAATAGATGAGGTTTTAGGGAATGTTAAAGATTTACTGGCCTGCCTTGTAACTTTAGCACTCTGGGCAAGCTTAATTAAATGAATATACTAGGAGAATCCACAAATTGCTAAGGAGTATCAGAGTTCTCTCCTACTTCAACTACTTTACAAGGGAACTGAGAAACTAACCAACAACCTGTCAGGGGAAAGTTTATGAGCAGACCTTCAACCTGTGTGTGGGAGAATTGTGGCATTCTGTGGGATGGGAGCCAAAGAGGGGCTCCCCATTCCAGGAGGAGGTGCTGCTCTGAGGCAGCAATGCAATCAGTAAAGCTTTGATCCCTCAGACCTTCGATCCTAGACTACACATCTGCACAAAGTAAAGTCTAACAACTCAAAGAGGCAAAGAAAGACAAATGAGATGGCTTAAAGTCCTGGTGCCTCAGCAATTTGCAACAGAAAAGTGATACGGTCCAAACCCTGAGTGTGCAACTGGAAGCAGAAGAGAAAACACAAGAGTTCTATCAATCCTGGTAGAAAACACAAAATAATTTCTGATGGTCATAAGTATTCTAAGACAAAAAAGAGAAGGCTCCCTGAGAGCAACCACTTTTTCTTCTTTTTTATTGGGGGCAGGGTGGGGAGTACTGGAGATTGAACCTATGGATGCTTGACCACTGAGATGCATCTCCAGCACTTTTTATTTTATTTTGAGATAGGGTCTCATTGGGTTGCCCTGGCAGGTCTTGAACTTGCAATCCTCCTACTTCAGCCTCCCGGAGCGAGTGACCAGGATTACAAAAAACAACAACTTTTAATCCAGAACCATGCTATTTTAGTTACATGGCTCCGTGGTATATATTAAAACTTAAAACTAGGTATCATGATGTCTCTAGCATTGTTTTATCCTTGGAATTGCTTTGGCAATTCTGGGTATTTTATTCTCTATATGATTTGTTTTCCTAATTTCTTTTTCAGCAGATTCACTACTGGTATATAGAAAAGCTACTGATTTTTGTATGCTAATTTTATGTCCTGCTACTTTGCTGAACTTATTAATTTTAGGAGTCTCTGGTGAAGCTTTTCGGATCTTCTAGATATAAGACTGTCATCAACAGGCAGAGATAATATGACTTCTTTTATTTGTATCCATTATCCCCATACCTTGCCTAATTGCTCTGGCTAAAATTTCAAGTACTATGTTAAATAGGAGTGAGGAGAGTGGACATCTTTGTCCAGTTCCTGAAGAGGAAATGCTTTTAGTTTTCCCCACTCACTTTGATGTTGAGTTTGTCATATACACCCTTTACAATGTAGAGGTAAGTTATTGCTATCCCTAGTTTCTTCACTGTTTTTATCATGAACAGGTGCTGAATTCTGTCTTTTTGTTCATCTATTGAGATAATCATGTGATATTTATCTTTGATTCTACTTATGTTATGTTACATTTATTGATTTGCTATGTTGAACCATCCTTGCATCCCTGAAATAAAACCAACTTCATGATGTACAAGCTTCTTAATGTGTTGTTGAATAGCATTTGCTAACATTTTATTAAGGATTTCTGCATTTATATTCATCAAGAATATTGGTCTGGCTGAGCATGGTGGCACATGCTTGTAATCCCAGAAGCTTGGGAGGCTGAGACAAGAGGACTGTGAGTTCAAAGCCAGTCTCAGCAAAAGCAAGGCACTAAACAACTGAATGAGACCGTGTCTCTAAATAAAATGCAAAATAGGGCTGGGGATGTGGCTCAATGTAGAGTACCCAGGTTCAATCCCCAGTTACCCATAACCCCCAGAAGAATATTGGTCTGTAGTTTTCTTTCCTTGATGTGTCTTTATCTGATTTAGGTCTCAAGATGATACTGGATTTATAGAATGCATTTGGAAGTGTTCCCCACTCCTTTCTATTTCATGGAATAATTTGAGGAGCAATGGCATTAGAACTTCTTTAGAAGTCTGGGAGAATTCAGCTTAGAGTCCATTACTGGTTGGAAAGCTTTCTATTACTGCTTCAGTCTCATTGCTTGTCACTTGTCTGTTTAGGTTTTCTATATCCTGTGGTTCTATTTTGGTAGGTCACTTTTGTCTAGAAATTTGTCCACTGCTGGATTTTCTAATTTATTGGAGTGTAAATTTTCAAAGTAGTCCCTAATGATGATCTGGATTTCAGTATATTTGGAAGTCATCTCTGATTTTATTAATTTGGGTCTTCTTTCTTTCTTTTGGTTTGCTTGGTTAAGTATTTATCAATCTTTATCTTTTCAAAGAACCAACTTGTCAATATATTGATCCTTTGTATTATTTTTTTTACTCTCTATTTCATTAGTTTCATCTCTAATCTTTAATTCAGATTTCTAATTTGCAAAGTATGTAGCCAAGAGAGCTAATGTTCAAACATTACTAATGTGTTTTTCTTTAAAATGTTAACTCTAAACATTGTTAGAAAATTAGATTTACAGACTACATAGTCAACTGATGAAATCTGCCCAAGTCAGACTATTGTGAGGTTTCCTACTTTATATAATGGTGTAAAACATTCAATACCAAACCTTCCTTCTGCTTTATGCAGGTAACATTTTTTGGCTATTTAGCTTGTATGCACCATAATTATATACACTTGTCAGCAGTAGATCTTTTCTAAAGAAATTCTTCTTTTGCCTTTATTAAAAGTAATTCCAAATAGAAGAGTTTTAAGTGAAGATTATTATATGTGCAATAAAGAACTATAAATATTAGGCCACAATTTATGTGTGGCTTTTGGTTCAAATCAACCTGTGCAATAGTATAGAAAGCAGGGAAATTTCTGACAAGGTCATTAGTAAGGTGAAACTGCATACCTGTGTGCCATCTCTGTTCAACAGCAATGCTTTTACATTATCTGTGTGCCCTTTAAGCTTCATTAGTTTTGCACATGTTCTTGGATCCCATACCCTTAAAACCTGTGAATTTTAAGAGAATATTACACAAATTGAGTATATACATAATCAAATTTAAATAATTGATGACTTTTTAAATATAATCTTTAAATTCTGAGAAGGAAATACTGCTTTAGCCAATAACTGCTAAGGCTCCTAACCTTAGGAAAGCCTTTCTTACGTCAGAAATTACACAACCTCCCCACCCACTTTACCACATACATAGTAATCATACAGTTATGTACTCATTTATTCAAATAACACCTTTCTTTTAGTATCCTCAAGGCAAAACCACTAACCAAATATTTAATAATTACATAGATCAAAATATTTTGATTTGTTTTCTTATGTTCAAACATACTCTTTAAGCTCCCCTTACCTTCTCTGTGGACCCCGATACAATGATTGTTCCCAGTTGATTCATGGCAAGGCTATAAATGGAATCTTTGTTCCCACTTAAAGAAGAAGCTATTGAGGACAAATGGAATTAAATGTTAACAAAAAATCATCAGCTGTTTAGTTATTAGTCAGCAAAAAATTATAAGTCTGATTATTCAGTTTAGAGAATCTTATCTTTATGAGTACTTTAAGGAAAAGAAATCTACCAACAATGGAGATAATTCTAAACCATAGTATTATTATCAAAGTTCATATCTTTCCCAGATTTGAATGTACATAAGTGCTCAATTAGCACTCAATAAATATTTAGCTCAATAAATATTGGCTAAATTGAATTGCACTATTATTTAAAAACCATCCACATAAAGAATGCATTTTCAAAGATATACACGTGCCAGTATATGGAAAAAATGCCCAAACTCACTATTATTCAAGGAAATGCAAATCAAAACAAAATACCATTTTCATATACCAATTTAGACAAAAAACAAAGGTAGTGCTTAATGGCAAGAATCATGTTAAATGCCCTTTGATTCAGAACTCAGTATTACCAAAGTGAAAATAGTTGCATATAAAATTATCTATACAGTATGATCATAATCCTTCAATAAATAAACATACTGAGAAGTGATCAGTAATAGTTAGTACATGTGAAGTGTTTAGAAAAATGCCTACTTGTAAGTATTCAATAAATGTTAACTAGTGTTAGTATTATTTCTATAATCTTAAAAAAACTTGTGATATCATCTCTAAAGAGTTCTAAGAAAGACTATCAACAATAGCAGAAGCTGTATCCACTAAGCCTAGTCTCTGACCTAGTAACAATCTTCTTTCTATTGCTTTCTTCCCTCCTCTTTAGTGTCTCTTTGAGAAAGGCCTCACATACAGACAGAGCCCAATGACAGGACAGGCCCCAGCAGGGTCTAGCTTCTCAATCACTGAGAAGGTATACAGGTGAAAAAAAAAAACAAGGGTAATAAGAGAAACATAGAGTTTATATATTTCCTGGTTGGTAAAACGATATTCAAGGAATTATATGTACCAATCTCCCAACTTGCCCTTCTTGGCATATACTAGGTTACATTAGAACAATTTTGGCTAAGTCACTGTGAGCACTCCACTGATTCATGACAAGTTGGACCTGTAATATGGAGTTCCAGATAGTCCGAGTCCATGTCTTGAACATAGTTCTTCCAGTCCAAGCTATGTTAAAAATGTGCTCCTACAAGTCCCCTCTGACATCTGCCCTAGAGGGCTCTAGGAGGTTGGGTCAAGTGTGATGTTGAATTTCAAATCCAGATTTGCATAGGTCTAAGGTGACAACCTGAGATCTATTATTTGATTAAATTGCCGCACTATTAAACTGTTGTGAATATCTCTGAATTACCTCAAAAACAATCCTATCCTCCCTGGGCTCTTCTGAAATAGGATAGATTCTTTAGGGCTACTCTGAAATGGTCTTCTCGACTGGCACTGGAAACATTTTTTTTTTTCTGTTTCTTTCCCCCTGTACTTTCCATTTTGGCCGTTAACTCAAAAGCTCTTAATATATGGTAATACTTTTAAATCAGAAAACTGACTATTTTGTCAGGAAATCACCATCTCCTTCAAAAATACCTGTGGGTCTAAGCCAGGCAATCCTGTGGGATACAAAGTAGTGATAAAACAAGATTTTTCTACCCCGCAGGGACTTATACTTTAGCTAGGGAGCTAAGACATGCACATGTACAAAAAATAACCAGGTTACACCTGGAGAAGTTACCATGTTTAGACTGCAGTGAGGAACTATCTCCTTGTTGCTCAATCATACTCTTGGGGGCTAGAACGCTGTAGGTAGAAGCACTCTCAAAATATGAACCACTGTCTCGATGCAAACCTATCAAAGATGTTTTATAAACCATTCTTTATTTATGTCAACTCAGATCACTTTCAAAGAAATTTTTTTCAAACACCTTACTTGTGACAGTGTTATTTGAGGCAGTCAATGCTGTTAGAGTATTCACATCCCAAAGGAATATTTGTCTGTCCAACCCAGCTGATGCTACCAGTTCCTTATCCTTGGCATATGCTAATGCCTTTACATAATCCTGTAACAGAACAGACATACTATGATCTACTCTGTAGATCAATTAAAAAATGAGCCAAAGTGCTAAGATTTCAATATTACACTGAAGATACTGAGAACTGTTAGCTGTTTTACCTTATGCGTTCTTAATGTTGACATGCAAAATCCCTTATGTGCGTTCCATACTTTTACTGTCGTGTCAGAAGACGCAGATATTACTAGAAGAGCCAAAGAATTAGCAAAACCCTTAGTAGTATGATTTATAATAACTTTAAAACGTATCTTAAAACAAAGTAACATTATTTCAAACTAATGTTCACACTCATACACTCTTCAAAGATCTCTCTAGAACCTATTAGATATTGTTACATACACATCCAAATTTTTAATAGGGCAAACTTTCCTAATGTTCCAGGTGAACACCCAACTAATTTGACAGAGAAAAATTTCTCTCAGACTGCAAAACCAAGAAATGGATCCTACCAAAATAAAAACCAAAGGAGGTATCAAAAAGACTAAAAGGGAAAAAAATGTGTGTATTATATGAATCTACTGCTATACAGCTGAGATGCAAGTAAAACTAATGTATGGTTCAGAAGACAGGAGAGAGTTTACCTTGGGGCAAGACACAATGACTGAAACGGTGACACAAATAAGCTCCAGGCAATTTTCTGTTTCTTGAATTATATTAAGTTGTAATCTCAAGGTATGTATACTTTTTTGTATGTATTTTAGACTTTAATAAAATAGTTTATATAAAAATATATCAAATTGAATTAAAAACTTTTGAAAGCTCAATAATCCAAAGAAATACTTACATGTTTTCCCATTACAACAGAGTACAATGTCGTTTACCCAATCAGTATGGTGTTCCATAGATGCTATATATGGATCTTGCTGAATTAAAAGAAAAATTGTAAGAGTTTATATCAGAGAATGAAATAATTAAAAATTCTAGATCTGTTCAGATTTTTCAATTAATGTAACATCGCTCTAAGGTCTTAAAACTGACAACTGAATTCAGAATAAAATTTTACAAACAGGCAATGCTTTCAGAAACAGATGAAAATACTTTTGTTTTAGGACATTTACCAGTAACAAAAGGTACATTTCCAGCATAAATAATTAATTGTTATGCCTTATGATGGTGAAGGCCATGCTCTGGGCTAGGCACTGTGCGTGCGTGATGCAGAGTGTTGCAGGAAGGGGTTTGCTTCCACAGGCTGGGGAAATCTTAACTCTGGTGGTGAAGGCTCACAGCAGCCAGCAGGGGCAGAAATGAGTGTGAGGAGCATGGTGAGGAGTCTGGTCTGCTGGCAAAGGGAGACACACACTTCTGCTTTCTCCTCCTGCTGTTTTTATCTTTTGATTTTTAAATGTTTTCTACAGTCCTTCACAGAAGAAAGACTGAGCAAGTTCATGTCACCATTCCAGTTCAATAACTGGAGACTCTCTTGTTCCCCTCATCTGGCTTAATTACCAGGAGAGGACTTCAAAAGACCAGTATTTAATTACATCCCATACCCAAAACATGCAACTTTGAGACATTTCATGGGCAAAACCAAACCAAAACAACAACAACAACAAAAACCCCACTCTCTTCATGTATGAAAAATGATGGTACTTAAACTGTCATAAAAGGATGACTAGAAAAAGATGTTTGAGGGCAAGTCAAGAAGATTTCCAGATTATTCCACATTAGTTTTCCTTACTTTGTTTGAAATACTGTGAATTCCCAGAAAGGAGACATCTCAATTTAAATATAAGTGCATTTAAAAGCTAAACATAAATAGTTTTCTGACTTTTGACACAGGGTCACCACTGCTTCCACTGGCTAAAGAATTCAGAGCCTGCTGGACTGAAGTCCATTTAGAGAGACCTCATCTAGCAACTCTCCTAAGTAGTAGATCTTTTCAACACTGAATATCAGACTTGTAGAGCTTGCTAAAGATAGACTTTTAAAAATACGAGGTCTAGAATCAAGGTTTTGAAGTAAGGCTGGGTTCTCATTCTCTGCCACTTACTAGCCATTTAACCATGGCCTTTTCTGACACTGTTTTCTCACCTATAAAGATGAATCCTAAGAGCTGACATGAGAGATTGCTGTGAGAATTAAAATCATGGTAGATATAAGTGCCAAGAGTGTCTGGCACATAGTTAAGAACTCAGGAAATGTTCCTTTTCCTTCCTTGGTTTTCTTTTCTATGTCATTCACAATACGGGTATTTAAATAAAATACCAAAAGAGTTCCATCCTGTTTGATGTGGGATTTATTTTTCCATATATTTAAATTCTGTTCCCTGTTTAAGAAAATAGACTTTAAAACTCCTGAAGGAGTTTTAAACTATGCTGTCCTCATAGTTTCATACCAACCTTATATAATGTAATAGGGCGCTGCAGGTTTTGTGGGAACCCTATTCACCTCAAATGAAGAAAATCAAATATTTGTTCAAAATTGCTTATAAATAATGTGAAAGCATACCTAAACCTTTCTTTTTTACTTTTTTTAAAAGTATGGTTGCAAGGAGACTTTTGGGGGTCATATTCTAAAGCAGAAAAACCGCTGGAAGTAATCACTTCCTATCAGTCAATATCATTGGTCCTTTGTAGTAAAGAGCTCTTAAACAAAACCTGGTTTATGGAATCCTTGCCTTAGCTAAAACACTTGTGAAATTCTCGTGGGGGTAATTTTTCTCAGAGGCTTACAGAATTCTGGTTTCAATGTCTTAATATAGAGTGTACTAAAAAATTCAGTGCTTAGAGATTAAATCAGAAACTGAAAAAAGGCATCACATAAGACAGGAAAAAGCAACCAAAATTTACAAATTTATAGATTTTTAAATGTAAACTTAATCTTTGCCTTACCTTGTGCTGATTGACACTCCATATTCTTATGATAGAGTCTCGCCCAGCTGTGAAAAGTCTATTTAGCGCTGGATCCAACTGTAGGGCATTGACTCCATTCCGATTGTACTTCTCTACTTCATCCCGAATAACATAGGAAACCTGATAAATACATCAACAGATGCTTTTTATGATGTTATAAGCCATGCAATAAAAAGATGTAGTCTACTAGTAGCCAATTAATAATAAAAAAACTTATTTTTCAAGCCAATAAAATTTTTATTTTTATTTTACTCTAAAGATTAAAGGGCTAAAAAGAGAAGTTAACCTAGACCAAGATGATTAAGTTTGCCCTAAACTACTGCTTCCTAATTGGACTCTCCTTCTACTCCTTTGCCTTTAATTCATTTTCACAAAGCAGACAGGGTAATCTTTTGGAAATCTAAATTGGAATGCAACCCATCTGGGTTCAAAAAACATCCAGCTGCTTACTGCTGAATTTGTGATTTGATGTAAATCCTTACCATATCTCAAGAGCCTTGTTCGCCTTTCCTGCTTTCATTTTTGTTCTAGGTCCTTGTGCACACAGGGCCTCCAGACTACTGCACATGCTAGCCCCATTTGGAAGTTCTCCCTCCTACTTGTCAGACTATCTCCTATTACAATCTTCGGGTTTCTCTTTAAATGATATGCTTCCTCAAAAAAGCCTTTCATAATTTGACAAGCAGAATGCCATCTCAAGTTCTGAGTTCCTATAATAAACTCAACTTTTCCTTCAGGATGCTTCTTCCTACTTCATTTTCCCTTGGTGACCTCTATTTCTTGGGAAAACATGTGAGAATCAACCCAAAAGAATTATAACTAAGAAAAAGTCAATACACTGGCTGGTAGTCCAAAGCAAAACTTTTCCAATGTAATAACTATTTCAAAATACAAGGGCGGGGGAGGGAGAGACCTAATTATAAAAGCAACAAGATAAATACCTATAAATACATTTTTTAAAAAATTTATTTTTTAGTCATAGTTGGACACAATACCTTTATTTCACTTATTTATTTTTTATGTGGTGCTGAGTATTGAACCCAGGGTCTCGCACGTGCGAGGCAAGCGCTCTATCGCTGAGCCACAACCCCAGCCCCGTAGAAATACATTTTACAAGAAAACACATAACTGATAGGAAATGGTACAAAAGAGAAAAATCAAATAGAGAAAACATGTAATACTACAGAACAGAAAGATTCAAAATTGGCAATTCATGCCTAAATTTGTAAATTTAACCCAATGTTGTTTAGAATAGCATTAAATTCTTTCTAGAAGTGCTCTAACACTGAGCCACAACCCCAGTTCCTACTTTAAAGATCTTAACAAAAAGTTGAAATTTAATAACATAGTCATTCAAGTAATTTTAAAGGCAGGTGAACATTTACATAGTCTGTAGATATAGAAGGCTCTTCCAACATGAAAAGAAAGATGGTAATTATTTTACCAAATACAAGTCAAACCTTTTATAAGTATAAGAATGTTTAAAGCAGTATTCACAATGGCCAAAAAGTGAAAACACCCAAGTGACCATTAACTGACAAATGGATAAACAAAATGGAATTTATCCTTCGGAAGGGCTAAGACTGCATACACAAATAATTACTAAGATATTTTCTTAAACTTGGTCTTTTGGAAACAAGCAACTGCAACTGAAATCTACTCAAATTCTTGAGAATTTAACAACAACAACAACCACAAAAAAAAAAAAAAAACACCCACAAATGTAAGTCATTATTTTCTCATTTTTTAGAAAATTTAACATAAGAATACAAGGATATCTAACAGAACTGAAAGGCAGAAAATACAGCTAATCACTCAAGAGGCATTTTTAAAATAAAATCATAGCACTTCTCTGTTGAAACCTTTTAACAATTTTCCACAGATTTAAAGTCCAAACTCCTTCAATGCTTTGGTTCTAACCCCGCATCCTTTATACTCACCTCAGACTAACCTCTCAGTTTCTTTCACGTTAGTGACCCTAAACTCTTTATGTTCCTCAAACACATCCAGCTCTGAACTCATCCTCCTCAGGACCTTCTCATTTACTGAAGATTCCTCAACCTTCCAACCCCACTGGGATACCCAGTTTTTATCTCCTCTGGCTTGCCTTCACCCTTTCTGTCTTAGATAGATCACCTCTGAAAGGCCTTCCCTGATCTCATTTCCCTTGACACCAATATCCTACTTATTTCACAGTTTTTAGCACACTCCGGTTATTTCTTTTTTATTATCTCTTCCTATATTAGAATAAGCTCTGAGTGGCAAGGACCTTGTCTGCCTTGCTCCTCCTACCACTCTATCTCCACTGTACCTGGCATACAATAGGCAAATATATTGGAAATCTGTTGGAAAGCCACTAGGAACTAAGGTGACTTCAATGTCAAGTTCTGCCTCTTAATCCTTCTCTGCGCACCATGTCAAATTCAGTCCCTTCTCACTCTTTCTCTGGAACACGAAGCCCACTTGTCTGGAGCACATTTCCTTTAACTGAGACTATGTAGTATATATGAATTTTAATTTTCTGATTTGTAGGAGATTATCTGACTGAACCAGTAGGCAAGGGTTGGAGGATAACATAATTATTGGGGCTGTCATTTCAGGTGGAGAGTAATTCTTAGCAAAACAAATTCTGGGATGACATCTTCATGTATCTACAATGGATGTTATTAAAAATGTAAACGAATTAGAAGTATCCTAGTTGAAAAAATTTTGGCACACATACCTATAAAATAGTGTTATTTAATTGTTAAAAATGTTGATGTAGATCTAGCCTGACACAAGAAGATAGTATATTTTAAGTGAATTATGCATGTTTCAACACATCATGTATAATAATCATTATTGTGAAAGTGTTTCAAAATATTAAACACATAATATATTTTGAAATAAATACCAGCAGTTATTCCTGAGTGATAGGATTATGGTGATTTTTTTCCCCACTCAGTCATGACTATTTATGTGGCTTTAATGTTTTATAATGGACACACATTATTTTATTTTAAAAATTTATATTCTATTATCAAAGTAATTCTTGCCTGTATTTAGAAAGTCAAACACTATTAAAACATTGCAAAGAAAAATAATCTCCCTACTGCCTGAGAGTACCCAGTCTTCATTCATCCCTAAATGGAACTAATTTTAACTCTTGGTTGTTTCTACTGGAGGGTTACAGCATTTCCCTAAATATTATGCTACAACTCCAGCACATTCATTTTAGACATTCCCAATTTACTCATTTTATTATAAAGATTAGGATATAAAACCACCTTTGATATTTCTTGTCTATTCTTCTTATATAGATACATTATTATCAGCTGAATAAATAATCAGTACTACATTGTTGTAACTTCATCAGGCTTTCAGTTGACTAACCAAGTACTATATTATGAATATCTTCCTTCCTCAAAGATCCTTTTGTTTTCCCTAAAGTTCTTTATTTTCCTCCTTCAATGTTTTCTTCTACTTTAAATTCGATTTTCTTCAACTGCTGCACCATGGAACTCACCTACCCCTTTGTTCTCATAAGGCTTCCTCAGTCCTCCGTCTCCTCACTGTGCTCTGGGGTGGTTACCACACAGGTTGCTGGCACAGTGTGTGCCACCTTTGCTGCTTTCTTATACTGCTTTTCTGGGGTAGAGTCTCGATTTCCAGAATTTTGATTTCACCTTGTTCATTCCCCAGTTTTGCTGAAGTACTTCCTTAGGATCTTAAGAAAATAACATGAAAGGCCTGGCACAGTGGCTCAGGCCTGTAAGAACAGCTGTTTGAGAAGCTGAGGCAGGAGGATCCAAGTTTGAGGTCAGCCTGGGCAACCTGAGATTCTGTCTCAAAATAAAACAACATGTACACTTATAAAAATGAGAAATTATATCCCATCTATGTATGATATTTCAAAGTGCATAAATGCATTCTACTGTCATGTATAACTAATTAAAACAAATTTAAAAATTAAGAAAAAAGATATCTTGTTAATATCATTGCCTCTTAAAATGAAGACATTTATATTTTTGGTGGTTTAAGAGTTCTCCATTTTAATTTGAGAATGTTTCTGTTTAGATGATAAAACAAAACGTTTTATGTAATAAAACATTTTATTCTTGAAAAACAAATAAATAAATAAATAAGACAAAAAGAACTGAGGCTGTAGCTCCGTGGTAGAATGCTCTCCTACCCTGTGTGAGGTCCTGGATTTAATCCTTAGCATTGCCAACAAAACAAAACAAAACACTCTCTCAGCTTTTGAACATGTTGCTCTAACATCCGCTACTGCCAATGAATTCAATGCCATTTTGTTTCATCCAACTTTAATATGACCTCATTTTCAGACTCTTCTGGACACCCTCTCGCTAAACTTTTAGGCTCTTCCCTTTTATTCCCTTTATATTTCTTCATTTAGTCTTTTTATCACTAATTTTGCTATGTAATTAGAAAGCCCTTTCAACGTGGAAGCTTGTAGTACTTCATGTCCGGTCTTTCTTTGTTCTTTCTTGAAATCCCATCAGTTATATGCTAAAACTTTCAAACTGATCCTCCATCTTTTAGGCATTCTATATTATCTATCTTTGTCCTTTATTTACTTTTATAAGACTTTCTCTATCATTTTATAACCACTATTTTTAATGTAGTATGATAAAATAGAAATAATATATCTGATAAGGAAATAGTTATATAAATGACCTCATGTGGTTATTAAAGAATGAAGACAAACTATATACATTGATATATTCCAAGACATTTCACATTAAAAACTCATTTAAAAAGTCTGGATATAGAAAGAGGAAAAACATAATTTAATTTTTTCAACTAATATTGACTAAGTGCTCCCTAGTTGTCAGGCACTATTTTAAAATCTGAGAATACAGTGTGTTCTAATGAGGGAAAGATCGAACTAGAAATGACAGCAAGTCAAGTGAAATTTTTCTCCCCAAGATACAGGCAAGCTTTTGCAAGCAGAAGGGATGAAAGCAATAAATAAATAAATAAATAAATAAAACAGAAGTAGAATGGTCTGAGAAACAATAACCTGGTGAACAAGGTCATAGAAAAGCTTCATTTAGACAAAGTCAAGAGTGTAGGTTAGCAATTGAATATAAATTAATAGACAAGCAAAAGAAGTCTAG